GCACTTGTGGTTCAGTGGTTGAACGCTCGCCCATTGTGCGAGAGATTCGGGTTCGATTCCCGGCCAGTGCATCAAGTAAGGTTGTTGCCACGTCGACGACTTTACTCTTGGATGAATATAGATTTTTTTTTCTTCTAATTTTATCATTCTGCGGTTTTTTTTGCTTTCTAAAATCTCTTTTTTTAATTTCGTACTTAAAAAATAACATCGCATCATTCCAAGCCCCGTTCTCACCTTTAAGAGGTCTCCTTGCTTTTCATTAGGAAACCTTCTCTTGCTAAGCTCTGTTAGTCAGTGAAGCAGTGGTAAAGGTTAATAGTTAAGGTCACGGTTATGTTTGCTTTCTGCAGAAGCTGCAAAATGTGATATGTACTGCGCAAGAATAAGAATTGACATTTCAAAATGGTTCCTTCCTTAACGGAACTAGCCCTGGCAAGTTACCATGGTGAAGTGAAACTGCCCATCGTGATTTATTGTTTTAATGTAAATAGAGTCTGTCCCCTTGGCTTATAAATTGCATATAATGACTGATTTTATCAGTGTCTTTTAGAAATCACACAGTTTTTTTTTCGCAATAATTTCGTTTCAGGATTACCCGGCTAATTCTCCGATGATAAAAAGCCTCTCCTGTTAAAAAAAAAAAGAAAGAAATCCTCCCATATTCTTATAAGATAGATTTTTTTAACCTAATCTTTCGACAGTTGGATCATGACTCGTTTTGAAAATTGTTAAAACAGTGGACTATAGAATGCCATTGTCTCAGATGGAAATAACGGTGCTCTTAAAATATATTTTTCTCAATCTCCCAAAAATGTTTTTCTAGGGAGCATTTTTAACCAATCAACAACAATGCTCTTTCTTAGCACCCGTAGATTTGTTTGCTGTTCTACGTGTGGTCAAAGTCTCTAATCCTGAAGAAAAATCGCCGGGTTGTTTTACTCACGACATCTGAAATATTTATCACTCGTAGAGATCCTTACAATTATTTGAAGCGAGAAAGATCTGTTACAAATTTATCTGCATTCCGCGAAATATCCGTGGAGGATGACTTGACTAACAAGAAATTATTTTTCTGCTGATCCAATTCTGTTGACGGTTAGGAGGACGGTTTTACACTTTGCCGTGATTATGCGACAGAAATGGAATTCCACGACATTTGTGAGCTGAGGTGTTGTTTAATAAATTAATAAGCACCGCTTAGAACAACCGGTAGTCTTTGCCTCTGCAAACAAAGATCTAATTTAGCGGAGAAGTTCTGAAAGAAGAGAGTTACCGACAGCATCTCCAGGTAAGAGTTGATACATGGCATTTATCTTCAGTTCTTAGTTGATTAAAAAAAATATTCAAGATTATAATCTTAGTTTAAAGACCACAACTTTCAATGTTGGAAAGGAAATTCCGTATATCAGGTATTTTTTTGTCCTAGAGAGGGTTATTGTAAATAAAAAAAAGTCAAACGATAACTAATCTCCGAAGAAAAAGTTGGTTTGTTCTCGCATTGATTTCACTAACCATGGCTCGTTTCACATGGTCAATAATTTCTTAGTCAAGAGAGTCTGTCAAATTGTCACGCTGATTTAATATTTTGATTCACAAATTAGAATTCTATATTTTATTCTAACATGGTAATGTAATACTTGAATTTTCCTCCTTTTTGTTGCTTTAGATATATTAGAAAATGAAGACCCGGATAGCGATAGTCGCATCGATTGTTTTAGTCGTGGTACTTCATGTGGAGAGTTCAGTTAGTAAGTATGGAACAAGGGAACTTTTGAAATAATTCTATTTTGTAAATTAGCTTGATAAGTTTAATAACAACCCATTCTCTGCTTGCCACTCTAATCAACCATGGAAAGTAAAGTTTTCGTATTATTCCCCTCATCTATGACCAAAACTCGTGTGCTGTTCGAATTTCCAAGGACTGGCTAAACGATATCACTGAGGTCACTCGCAGTTAGAATAAATATGACTTATAAAGGTTCCACGGCTTGTTAAAGTTATAAGTCGTCGCCTGTCAGTTTACTTGTTAAACATATTTCATCTGTAGGAGTTCCCCCAATGATAACCTCTCGAATCTATCACACAGGAACTAAAAAATATTATTCAAAGTAATGTTTTTAACTTCTGAACTCCAAGTACAAGCGAAGACAATTTTTCGCTTGATCAATTTTATTAGCCACCAGTGCGGAAAACCTGTCACAACCGAAAGAAGAAATGAAAAAACCTGCTTTTTTTTTCGTGATCTAGAGTAAGTTAACTGGCAACAAGCGGGCTAAACCGTATTATTTTGTTCCGCGATGTCTATACCGGCAGGAAACGAATTTTTTTCTGTTGAAAAGTCCTATGAATTTCGTGCACTTCCGGTCATGCGTTGCATTACAGCGTACAGCTTCAATATGGCACCAAAACTTCTTTAGACAAGAAAAGAAGAAAGAACCACTCCTGTCTGTATCGTTCATAACTTTTTGCTAATACGTGATTTCAGTTCTACGACTTCAATGTGCTTCTTTCATCCAACTGTTATGCTACAATTGGCATAACTGATAGTTTTTTTCCTATTATTAACTGGCAATGAATAGGAACACCCCATGCATTTCCTGGAAATAATGATCCCCTGTTTTCTTGACTGACACTCATAGAAACTTATGCCGAAATGCACGAGCATGTGGATAAGAATGAAACGTCAAATCTCTCCACATACGACGATTAGCACAAAGTTAGAAAAAACTGCTTGTTTTTCTCACTCAGAATTTTAAGTAACATATGCCATGTAAGACGACGGAGATCTTACCAAAAGTTTATTCAAGTTTCTTACCATGTATTTTTTACTTTCAGTTCAGAGCAGGCTTGCGGAATTGAGGGCAAAGAGTAAGTATAGAATTATAATGAATATAACTTCGATCAATTAGCTTAGGAAACTTCTCCACAAGTCAATAGGATACGAAACCATGATATCTATTTACTGAAGTAAATATATTCAACTCATCATTGAACTCTTTATCGTTAATATATCATCTCGCTTTTTTTTTTTAGGGAGTCCATGTGGGGCGTCATGCGCTCCATCCTGTGCTCCTCTGTGTCAGCCATCATGTTGTATGCCAATTCCACCACCGCCTCCTCCACCACCACCACCGCCTCCCCCACCAATGCCAATGGCAACGATGGCTCCTCCTCCTCCGTGTCCTCCCGTTTGCTTGAAATGGACGACAACTATCAACCCAGTGGGCGGAATGCCTCAAGTGTCTCCAATTCAGTCTACTCCTTGTCCTGATCAGTGCCAGCAGGCAGGCTGTTGTGCACCTCCACCAATGATGCCCCCTCAACCACCACCAATGGTTATGGGCCCTCCTCCTCCTATGGTAGCACCTCCTCCTCCTCCAGTTCAGCCACCACCACCTTGCCCTCCAGGTTGCCCTAAGGCTTGCTATCCAGCCTGTTCACAGAGGTGCTGCAACCCTCAACCACTCCCGCCCCTTCCACCACCAATGCCACCGATGCCTCCCATGCAGCAATGCCAGCCATCCTGTGCTCCCACCTGCTGCCAGGGACCACCTCCTCAACCAATGATGATGCCACCTTATCCTCCAATGAACATGCAGCCACCTCCGATGCAACCTCCTCCAATGATGATGCCCCCTCAACAACCCATGATGATGATGCCTCCTCCACAGACAGTTTGCCCCGCGCCCTGTGCCCGATCATGCGCACCAAAATGTAAACCTGAATGTTGCGACAAAAGGAAGCGTAATGCTGAGAACTAAAGTACTCTGGCTTTCGAGTCAACCATACACCGACTGGACAACTACGCGCTAATGGCGACGCCCTAGGCATAGGGGTAATCGAAGGAAAAGTCGAAGATATCCATTCTTCGTTTCCTTTTCTGCTGTAAATAATGGACCACAGTCTTTTTTGTTTATGCCACAAAAGGTGCTCATTTTTGGGCTGCTCATCATATCAATTCAATTAAACTGAACTAGGCATGTCTCTTTGTGCTAAATAGGGTGGTTAATAAAAATTGTTAAGATTTTTGTTTCAAAAGCCTTGAATATCGTTCCTTTGAAACGGTCCTAAACATTTATCCTGACGTAAATTCTCCTCGCTCTGGATCTGTCAAAAAGCCGTGAATCTAACTTCAAGCATATAATTTTCCTCAAATACCAAAACTTTTCTGTCACCATAGTGTCATGAGCGACCATCTTTAGTAATGTTTATCGACACTCATTCTGTTTTCCATGTCCCAAACTACAGCTTCCGTACCCTGTAACACTCTTTTAATGAAAACGTCCAGCCACCACAGCCTTGTCCTCGCTAACCTTGGGCTTCAACATCAGTCCTGCAAAACTCGGCTGGTGCACCTTGCTTCCTAAAGTACAACTGATGCCGCTGATCATTCTTAGCTGCTGTGCATATCCTTGCGAATGATCACATCAACCAACGATGACAGATGTCGAGTGTCAGGCCCGACGCGTACATGTTGGTAACGTTTTGTTAGCAGGGCCTCCGCTCCCTAATTTTAGCCCCAAAGAAAGTAAAGGAAAAAAAAGGTACTCACGAAATTGAAAAGAGTAAAGATATGTAAATGAGGAAACTAGGATAAAACCGGTGACATATCGATCTGCCGTACCACAGACTTATGCATTGATTCCAAACAAGTGATTTTGTACCATGTAAAGCAGGACTCACAAAGTCTTTATTTCAGTATGCAACTGAAGCACTGGTGGTTCAGTGGTAGAATTCTCGCCTGCCACGCGGGAGACCCGGGTTCGATTCCCGGCTAGTGCATGGTTTTGCATCTCCAGTCAATCTTGGGGTGCAGATGGCTGTAATTATTTTAATTTTTCTATGAGCAGGTTATTAAGCTCTTTTTGAACTTTCTCTCGCCTCGAACGGTTTGTTATCCCATTAAATTGAAGTGTTTATCCATTTGTCCTATAAATCGTTTTCACTCAACGTTACATCGCCGCCATAATGTTAATTAATACGATATTGGTATCGTAGTATTGGCATCCAAGTCAATGCTACAGGATTTGAACTCTTTCCTTCTATAAAAATAAAGTCTCTTTTCTTCGGATGAATACACATAGATACTCAGCAATTGATTTAAAACGTCCTATTTTGTCCTAAGAGAAACAGAAATAGAAAAGGCTTGCTTATCTTTGCAAAAGGCTGAAAAACTGAAAGTCAATAGTACTACAAAAGAAATTAATTGTCATAAAGGGGATTGATAGTGAAAATAAGTTGTTCTCCATGAGAAGGAATCCTCAAATAAAAATGCCTCAGGCGAAGTCCTTTATTCCAACATTTAAATTTACTCAGGTAAGGCGCATTCTCCCGAAAAATTCAAATCTTACAAACAAGACCTCGTTTCATGAAAAAGATATGCTTTAAAAAAGTGAAAATGTGATGATGATCATGAATAATAAAATGAAGGGGCAACCGGGATTGAACCGGTGACCTCTCGATCTGCAGTCGAATGCTCTACCACTGAGCTATGCCCCCATCTCTTGTCCTAATCTGCTGTTTTCCATGTCCCAAACTACAGCTTCCGTACCCTGTAACACTCTTTTAATGAAAACGTCCAGCCACCACAGCCTTGTCCTCGCTAACCTTGGGCTTCAACATCAGTCCTGCAAAACTCGGCTGGTGCACCTTGCTTCCTAAAGTACAACTGATTCCGCAGATCATTCTTAGCTGCTGTGCATATCCTTGCGAATGATCACATCAACCAACGATGACAGATGTCGAGTGTCAGGCCCGACGCGTACATGTTGCTAACGTTTTGTTAGCAGGGCCTCCGCTCCCTAATTTTAGCCCCAAAGAAAGTAAAGGAAAAAAAAGGTACTCACGAAATTGAAAAGAGTAAAAATATGTAAACGAGGAAACTAGGATAAAACCGGTGACATATCGATCTGCCGTACCACAGACTTATGCATTGATGCCAAACAAGTGATTTTGTACCATGTTAAGCAGGACGCACAAAGTCTTTATTTCAGTATGCAACTGAAGCACTGGTGGTTCAGTGGTAGAATTCTCGCCTGCCACGCGGGAGACCCGGGTTCGATTCCCGGCTAGTGCATGGTTTTGCATCTCCAGTCAATCTTGGGGTGCAGATGGCTGTAATTATTTTAATTTTTCCATGAGCAGGTTATTAAGCTCTTTTTGAACTTTCTCTCGCCTCGAACGGTTTGTTATCCCATTAAATTGAAGTGTTTATCCATTTGTCCTATAAATCGTTTTCACTCAACGTTACATCGCCGCCATAATGTTAATTAATACGATATTGGTATCGTAGTATTGGCATCCAAGTCAATGCTACAGGATTTGAACTCTTTCCTTCTATAAAAATAAAGTCTCTTTTCTTCGGATGAATACACATAGATACTCAGCAATTGATTTAAAACGTCCTATTTTGTCCTAAGAGAAACAGAAATAGAAAAGGCTTGCTTATCTTTGCAAAAGGCTGAAAAACTGAAAGTCAATAGTACTACAAAAGAAATTAATTGTTATAAAGGGGATTGATAGTGAAAATAAGTTGTTCTCCATGAGAAGGAATCCTCAAATGAAAATGCCTCAGGCGAAGTCCTTTGTTTCAACATTTTAATTTACTCAGGTAAGGCGCATTCTCCCGAAAAATTCAAATCTTACAAACAAGACCTCGTTTCATGAAAAAGATATGCTTTAAAAAAGTGAAAATGTGATGATGATCATGAATAATAAAATGAAGGGGCAACCGGGATTGAACCGGTGACCTCTCGATCTGCAGTCGAATGCTCTAGCACTGAGCTATGCCCCCATCTCCTGTCTTGATCTGCCGTTTTCCATGTCCCAAACTACAGCTTCCGTACCCTGTAACACTCTTTTAATGAAAACGGCCAGCCACCACAGCCTTGTCCTCGCTAACCTTGGGCTTCAACATCAGTCCTGCAAAACTCGGCTGGTGCACCTTGCTTCCTAAAGTACAACTGATTCCGCAGATCATTCTTATCTGCTGTGCATATCCTTGCGAATGATCATATCAACCAACGATGACAGATGTCGAGTGTCAGGCCCGGCAGGGCCTCCGCTCCCTAATTTTAGCCCCAAAGAAAGTAAAGGAAAAAAAAGGTACTCACGAAATTGAAAAGAGTAAAGATATGTAAATGAGGAAACTAGGATTAAACCGGTGACATATCGATCTGCCGTACCACAGACTTATGCATTGATGCCAAACAAGTGATTTTGTACCATGTTAAGCAAGACGCACAAAGTCTTTATTTCAGTATGCAACTGAAGCACTGGTGGTTCAGTGGTAGAATTCTCGCCTGCCACGCGGGAGACCCGGGTTCGATTCCCGGCTAGTGCATGGTTTTGCTGTAATTATTTTAATTTTTCCATGAGCAGGTTATTAAGCTCTTTTTGAACTTTCTCTCGCCTCGAACGGTTTGTTATCCCATTAAATTGAAGTGTTTATCCATTTGTCCTATAAATCGTTTTCACTCAACGTTACATCGCCGCCATAATGTTAATTAATACGATATTGGTATCGTAGTATTGGTATCCAAGTCAATGCTACAGGATTTGAACTCTTTCCTTCTATAAAAATAAAGTCTCTTTTCTTCGGATGAATACACATAGATACTCAGCAATTGATTTAAAACGTCCTATTTTTTCCTAAGAGAAACAGAAATAGAAAAGGCTTGCTTATCTTTGCAAAAGGCTGAAAAACTGAAAGTCAATAGTACTACAAAAGAAATTAATTGTCATAAAGGGGATTGATAGTGAAAATAAGTTGTTCTCCATGAGAAGGAATCCTCAAATGAAAATGCCTCAGGCGAAGTCCTTTGTTTCAACATAATTTAATTGACAACATAACATCAGTTGTATATAAGACTTAGCTGTTTTGTAACAGCTGCTCTGACAACAAAACGATCCCAAGAGCTCGAATCCAACTAAGACATATAGTCAAGTTCCATTTCATCACATTGGAGTAATCCTTATTTACAAAGACATTTATCCTGAATTCGAACTCTTTTCAGATTGACGCCAGTTAGTCCACTAACTATAGCTTAAAAACATGTTTTCAACACAGTTACATCGCCCCAACGATCGAAAACCCAAACAATGGGTGCTTATCCGCAATTCATCTTGAAACAAAGTCATTGCAGCGTTGAATGAGCAGCCATCTTTCAATCTTTATATCTACTCTTTGTCTTTCTTTTCTTCATCGTTCTTCTTGCCCTTCTTGTCTACTTTTCCCTTCTTGCAGCAGGCACTGCAAGGTGGGGTGCAAGTTGGAGGACATGGGGGTGGGCAGGGTGGAGGGGGAGGGGGGCAGGGTGGAGGGCATGGGGGAGGACAGGGTGGTGGGCATGGTGGTGGTGGGAAGTGGTGTTGTTGTACGTGGACTGTCTGGACAGTGTGGCATGGGGGTGGGCATGGAGCAGGTGGAGGTGGTGGAGGTGGTGGAGGTCCAGGATGTGAGTGGTGGACGAAGACATGAGCGTGTGATTCAGTGGAGAAGGGTGGAGGAGAGGGCATGGGTGCTGGAGGGGGACCTGGTGGGCTGGCGTGGTACACGTGGTGGTGCACGGTGTGTCCAAAGTGACATGGTGGTGGGCATGGAGCTGGTGGGGGAGGAGGAGGGGGAGGTGGTCCTGGGTGGAAGTGATGGTGGTAAAGGGTTGACTGACTACTTGTTGCTACTGGTGGAGGAGGAGGTGGAGGGGGAGGTGGGCAGCATATTGGAGGTGGGGGCGGGGGAGGTGGAGGTGGTGGGCAGCAGGTTGGCTGACAAGGGCAGCTTGATGGGCATCCGTATCCGCATTTCTTTGCACCTAAAAGACGATAGAAAAGGGAGACAATTAGTTGTAACTAATCTAGCCTAAATCGGTTTTATGAATAATCCTTCAATTAAGATACTCTAATGACTAGCAAAACGCTGTTCTAAACTTAAACAAAAATATAAAGTAACAGCTTTCTTATAAATACTTTTGATTTAATCAATAGAAAATGAACCCAAAGAGGAAGTGTTTAGAAAAAGAAAAACTTCTTGGCCAGCAGAGGGACGTCTGTTTGTTTGTTAAAAGAAGAAAACACGTCTTTTGATTTACCCTTCGCTCAGAATTTTCAATCTTCGTTTATTTTTCCTAAAACGATGATCGATTTCTGTCACAATATTGGAAGTCCCAGGAGGGAGTAAAATTAAGCCTTTCGTAACCTATTTTTTTTGTAGTTCCTGCCGTTTAACTCTACGGCTGCAAGATTGAAAACTGATCTTGAATGTCTTTGCTTAAGGAAAGTCTAAATAGTTGCGCTGGTCGACAGAGAATAAGAGAGCGACATGTCATCATCGACAAACTCAAGATCTGTGTCAAGAGGACGAGCGCGCGAAGACATGTGACCAGTGGTACAAGCAGGATAATTGCCCTGACCAGGTAGTTTCTGAATTTTGACTGAATGGCCAAAAAAAAACAAATTTCCGCTCTTTATGAAACTAGTGCGCGTTCCAGTCATGGCGTTAAAATCTTCAAGCGTCGATGTTCAAGCGTATGAAGATTGAGATGACGAATTCTTCATCTCTGTTGTTGCCTTGCATTTGTTTAGTTTGCTTTTTGTGCAATTTCGAATCTTTTCTGTGTTTGTTTTCTTCATTCAGCAGAGAGGTTTAATAAATCACACTTTTGCTGATTTCAAATCGCCGAAGGTTGTCAGGGAAGTAAAAATTTTATTCCTTTTTTTTTTAAAAATCGGTTATTCACATCGGTTCGAATGCTTTCGTCTGTTAACTGGTGGTTTGCTTTACCTTGTCAAGTGACGAGATTGTAACCTGTTGGTGATTCCGTAGGTAGTCTCATTCATTTGATTATTCGCTTAATTTCTCAAAAATAAAATTAACATCGTTCTCTTAAGACTACTGATTCTTTTCAATCAATAATTTCAAATGTTTATAACCAAGCCAACAAGCTTTTAAGAAAAGGCGTTTTTCAGCTTTCGAATCTGTCTTCCTGTGTTATGACCTATTGGCATTGTGTTATTTGTTTGCATTCAAACGCACATATTTTGATACAAATGTTTTTTCGCTTTGAGTTTAAAAATGGTCCGTCTTTCCTTATTAAAAACTGTAAAAACAGCTAATCAAAATCACAGTTAGTCAAAAGCACTCTCCCCACTAAGTTCAGTAAAGTGGTTTTTTGTGAACAATTGTGGCTAAAACGCTCAATTACAACTCTTTCGTCTCAGTTATTTCAGTTAATAAATATCAGACACGATGAACTTTGAATAGCTAAATTTTTACCTTTAAGCTGATTTAGCTTCTTTTTGAGGATTTTCTTTTTTGCTTCAACAGAGAAGGCGACCAGCACAATAAGCAAAAGAAAGATTCGCTTGTCCATGTTGCCTGATAAAAAGAAGAAACAAATTATAGCAAGTACATTCCAAGCTTTGCTAGGGTTCTTTCCCTACTTTCCAAGTAGATTAAATTATTTTCTCCTCGTAATGGTTTCTCGTTAAGAGATCTTTCCAATCGCCGTTATCGCCGTAACGATTGTCAAATATTCGACGAAACTACACCAACACAGATATACAATTAATCTTAAAACATTGCTGAACTTTCTTAATAAATACATTCTCTTAACTATTCTTCCAAACGGGGAGGTTAAAATATTTACCCTCGGACATTCAGCTACAAATAAAGTAGTAATTAGGTTTAGATTTCCATTTCAGATTATTATAATCGATAACATTTAAGACACACAGTGACGGGGCCTCAAGTTGATAAAATAAACACAACTTACGAGATAATGCAATTCGTACAATTCGAGTGGTTGAGTAACAGAAACAGAAAAAAACTGTAGTTATATTGCTATATTATAATGTTATATGAGAAACAAGTTTTGAGTTAAATGTCTTTTTTGATTATCACTATGGCAATTATGTAAAATCTGAGACAAAGACGCCTACCTTTTTCTCAGGAAAACCTAAAATCCCTGATTCCTCGGGCAACACAATCAAGAAATTGCTTCTTTGCTTTAAATGGGAGACGTTAGGATGCGCTAATCGTTTGCACTACCCGTTCGGGGTTAAAGCTTTTGATTGGCTTGTGAATGGTTATTCATGCATGACCAAACGATCCAATCTAACGACGTAATCGAACAGCAATGGTCTATGACACGAGGCGCCCGTTTACACCGCTGGCCATTAATCATTCACGACTTACCGGTGGTCTGTCTCTAAGAGGCTGGTTCTATGCAAACAATCCTATATCCAAGTCTTTCATAACAGTTTTTCAACACTTTCATGGTGTTTTCATTGAGACGATGAAAACAACCTGTAAGCTATGAATCTATATGTATACCAAATTTTATGGACCATGAAGGAATATAAAAACCTTTGCTTAGGGGAGTCACTGTTGAAAAATTGTTTGGTGCAATAATCCGTAAAGGTCGTTCCATGCAATTTCCAAACCATAGCTTTAACCGTTTTATGTTACTGTCACAGACAATTGTTTTTTTAATTGACCGCTTGTTGTTCATCATTTGACTTCTTGACCTGTTATAGACTGATCATGAAATATCTGCTATTCAATTGCAGAAGATTCAAACTCACTTACTAAATAAAATCAACATTAAGGGTACTGATGCATCTAAAGCAACTTAAAGGCGAGGAAAACTTTTTATGATTGCCAGCAAAGCAAAAATATGAAAGATGTGTCCGACAATACAAGAAGACAAATGTCCTCTTTCGAGTCATTTTCCAGGAATAGGCTGCAAGGAAATTTGACGTTTCTGCACTGTCCTTTTCTTCCTTAAAATGAAGTGCCTAAGGAATGTTTAAAAACGTAATTCATAAAATAATAGCGTTTCTAAACCCAGTCATGTCTAAATGGCTCCTGTATACACCATTTTCTTTGAGTAGCTATGCGGTTATCTACGTTTTTCTACGAGTTCATCTTGATATTCGTTTATGGTAAATTACCAACATTTTCTCTACTTTTATGAAAGGTACTAAAACAAACAGAAAGCAAAGAAACAAATTGAAGTTGAGAGTGAGGAGTGTTCAACGCGTCTTTTAATTTAGAACATTTATCGGTCTAAAAGAGTTTTGTTTTTTCATTCTTTTCTAGGAATTACTGGAAAAACTTTGTTCATCTTCTCGAGATTCCGCGTGGCGCAATATTTTCACTTTCAATCCGGTCATTCCATTTTAGTTTAGTGATTTTTGTTGTTGTATTTTTTGTTTGTTTGTTTGTTTGTCGTGATTGTTTTGTCTTTTTTCTTCTTTGTTTATTTATTCGGTCCTGCAGCAGGTATGTTGACATACCTATTCACTCGGCAGAAACCTACCAAGTAAAGTGAATAACATAGGAAGTGTTTCATGAGAGCAGGAAGTGCAACTGAGCGAAAAATTCTTAACTGTATTGTAGAAAAGTACAATAAACCACTCAATATGTTTCTCATTAACAACATTTTATTAAGTTATTTGAATTCTGACGGGAACTTTAAGCTTCATAAAGGAGCACACAAATTTGTCACTAGAACGCAAAATATTCTACAAAACGTCCGTACATAGATGTTATTATTACGTCAACGTAAAGAGTTTCCATTCGGTCGTTTTCTTGGCGAAGTAGAGTTCACCGCCGACGCCATAAAGATACACCATAAAACAACCCCATATATCACAACATCTGGTTCGCAGTCACTGTCCCTGTATGTACACGGCTGATAACTTATGATGATCGCTTCTTGCAGCACATGGGTGGACAGGCTGGTGGACAGACTGGGGCGGGAGCGCAGCATTGTGGTGTGCAGGGTGGTGGGCATGGTGGGGCAGGCACGACTATTGGGGGAGGAGCCGGGACTGGACATGGGCAAGGTGGTGGTGGTGGCATGTATTCCCATACGTGCTGCTGGCTCTGAACGGTGGCTGGTGGAGGTGCTGGCTGAGGAGCAGCAGGCATAGCTGGAGCCTGAGGTCCCATATGGTGAACGTGGTGATGGTGGATGTGGGTGGTGTGGTGAATCTGCTGTGGTGGGGGAGGGGGTGGTGGTGGTGGGGCACAGCAGTAAGTTGGGCAGGTTGGTGCACACATTGGGGCGGTGCATTGGTATCCACATGGGATGGCGCCTCTCTTTTCTGTTGAGATACAACGTTATACTTTGGGTCACTTCATTAACGACTTCATATTTATATTAGTGTAAGAACAAATATGAGTAAATTTTAAACAACTCATGATATTAATTTTGAATGATTTTCCCTGGAGACTACTCCAACCCATGAGAAATTCTACAAAAGCCGTGTCTATAATCATTTTCTAACTTTGTCACCACTGTCATCTTAACTTTACAGAAAAGTCTCAAAACCTTTACATGCAGCAAGAGGTACTAGGAATAGTAAAGGCGAAGGTCGTTACAATTTTACTTATAATCACGTGGTTATTCAACACAGGTACTGCGACATCACACAATTTGTTTTGAATTGTTCAGCTTACTGTCTTGTGTCGTGTAGATAGCAGTACATGGAAACTTTTTAAGAAAGTAAACTAAATGGAGAAATTCTGTTTAAAGGATTTTTTTCGCTCTAAAGAAGCGATAAACTGTCCAATATCCCTATCAATTGTGATTTGAAACCGTGACAACACAAGCATGAAATATTAACTGATTTCCTCTGACCTTAGCGAAACCCTAGAGGACAAGTTCGCTCCGGATTTCCTCAATCCTTCGCGATTAGCATGATAATCAAGAAGAAATTCTACTTTGATTATTACGTAAAGAAGTAAAGCGAATTCGGTAGTACGCACCTTTAAAAGATTTGGCGCTGACGCACACGACGGCGGCTAAAAGGAGAACAACAAGACGGGCCATTTCTGCAACTGAAAAAGAGAAGAGATTTAAAAGAGTCAACACGAATTATGAAGAAATCGTGAAAGATATTCCTGAGTGTTCAAAAAGTATCTTACGGTAATAACGTCAACAGATAATGTTAAGAACACTTTATGATCTTCAAACAAACATTTAAAACGCGTTTTTACAATTGATTCTCTTGGATAATGATGATCGCAAGCAGAACAATTAAATTAAAATCCAAACCTACAAAGTCACTCAAGTCGTAGAACCACTTGTCGTTATCGGCTATGAGGTTGTTAGTATCTTACCTTCTAGTCAGAGCTTGGATCTCGATCTACTGAGCGCGCTGAGAACTGATTTCGAATAGAGGATCTTATTAATTATGTCGACATTTGACCAGTCGCAGGTCTTAGCCAGATCAGTGGATTCCCATTGGCTGGCGATGACTTCGGATCACAAGATTTGAAGAAAGTCTATGAGTTATTCATAGTTTTGGTTGATTTCATTGCACACCTATGAGACCCTATGCAAGCCCCAATGACTCAAGAATTAAGTCATCGACATCACTGTGTCAATGTGGAAGCTGTGAGGCGCCGGCGCGTTAATTTCGTGGAAAAAGCATCCATGGGGACCTCGTGAATGCGTCCAGTTTTGATTTTTTTTGTGAGCAGCGATATTTTATTGCTGTTTGCCTTTGATCGATTCAGAAAATGCACGAAAATAAACTCTTTGTTTGTCGTTTGGCACCTGGTTATTGTTTGACATAAACCAAAACATTTTCGTTTGAAGATCAGGTACCAGTATGATGGGTGTAGCCAACCGTTGCATCACAGGAGACCGAAAAACTTGTCGCAAAATTCCTAATGTTCCACTAAAAGCTCCAGTTTTCTTTTAACATATTTTATATTTCCACGAAATATTGAAAGTTCTCCTACTGATGTAGGTGGAAAAATTTGTTGGCACCATGTTGTGTTATGCTGACTGAAGGACTGGTGCTTGTATTTAGCAAATTCATTTGGCGTTAAAGGATCGTTTCAATTTTAAGACGGCCTTGTCAACAAGATCAATTTTTTTCTCAAGATATAAATATTCGAGGTTAATTTCCATGGAAATACTTTGAGTCACGAGTGCCATGTTCGATACCTAGGTAATTAAACTTTGCGAGAGATTCGATTTCCATTGAAAATATGGTGTCATCATAACAAGGAAAAAGTCTTGCAACTTTACATGACCGTTAAACAAATGAATACTTCATATTTATAACACCCTGGATTTTTGCCTCCAGTAAATACTGTACCCATGTTTACTTTCACTTTAAAATTAGGAGATAGCAATATATGAAGTCTAGGGAGGAGCGAGAACAGACACAAGTACCAATTTTATCCAAACACCATGACCATAAAATTGAGCAACGTGCAGTATTGATCTTAGAAAAGACAACGGGATTCAGGGGAATAAGGACAATTAATTGAATAATTTCCCATTCTGTCTGGATCTGACTTTTTTTTTGTTACTCTTTGTTTATTGGTAAACAAATAAGTCATGACCATGTTTACTAGGGTCACTGACCCTTATGAAATTTCAAATATCATTGTTAACCTAAGTACCAATGAATTAGATGGACAGGGGATTGTCTACTCACTGTATATAGATCCTCTTTTATGGATAATAACGTAAAATCGGCTATACTATAACGGAGGACTAAATTGCTTGTCTTTTCTTTTTTGAGTAAACGACTTGTGTACAGATTTCTGCGAAATACCAGACAAGATATGTGCTTTAATATTTCCTTCGTTTACCAAAGCTGGAAAATAATACCGAACAAACAGATATTGATGTTATTTCAACGCACTTTTACCGCTCGATATGTGTGGCATGCAGTCACTCAACCTAAGATGGTAGACTTGGTTAAGACAAGAAGGACTGGGGGGGAGGGGGTGTGGCTGGTTAGGTTTTTCCTGTTTTTCTTTCTTGTATCAAAAATGATCTCTTTCATTGATGAAAGTTTATGTTCTAAAGGAGACCAAAAGTCCAGATATAAATGTGCCGAATGTCTGAGGAGCTCAGTATTTTATTTTCTTCCAATATTGTCATAAAAACTATATCTTTGGCTGCGGTCTGCTACTCTTGAGAATATAAGAATAAACACAGTAAAAGAACAAAAATTATAGTTTAAAACGTTTCACCTTTAATTAAATACCAACAATAAGCACATGTACAACTTCGCTGAAAACTTCACATTGGTGAATCGAGGACTGCGTTTATATTCACAGGCGTACAAGCATGCCAAATAAAGGCATATCGCATCGACAGCGCATCGTCCTGGACGCTAGACACCTCGTGTAACATACACCGAAAATAAACCTATCTATGAAGCTCCGAAAAGTTAATCGTCATCATCGTCTTTGTCGTCTTTCTTTTCTTCCTTCTGTTCCACAGCCTTATCTGATTTTTCTTCCTGTTTATCTTCCTGTTTCTCTTCTTTTGTGTCTTCTTGTTTATCTTCCTGTTTATCCTCTTGTTTCTGCTCCTGCTTCTCCTCTTCATTGTCCTCCTGCTTGGCAATCTCCTCTTCCTTCTTTTCTTCCTGATCATTGACGTCATCGTCATCATCAGCATTGCCAGAGGCTTCATCCTCGATCTTTACCTTGTTCTTCTTACAACAGGCCACTGGGCAGGATGGTGCGCAAGTTTGGATACATGGGGGAGGGCAGGGTGGAGGTGGTGGTGGTGGGTGGACAATGTGGTGGACAACCTGGTGAACGTGGTGGATTCTCTGGGGAGGAGCAGGAGGGAGACAAGGAGGTGGGCAGGGTGGAGGTGGAGCAGGAGCCCATTGGTGGGAGTGATGGTGCATAACGCTAGCGGTGTGGCATGGTGGAGGGCATGGCAGAGGTGGAGGTGGTGGAGGAGGAGGCAGCATATGGTGATGTGTTACATGGTGGATGTGGTGAACAGCCTGAGGGGGAGCTGGAGGGAGGCATGGTGGGGGGCATGGTGGAGGAGGAGCAGGTGCCCACGCATGACTATGAGAATGTTGCACACTATGGGTCATACAAGGTGGTGGGCATGGGGGAGGGGGTGGTGGGCATGGAGGGGGACAAGGGGGAGGACAGGGTGGTGGGCACGGTGGGGGTGGTGGTGGGGGACAGCATGTAGGAGGACAAGGAGGCGCACATGACACTGCACATGGGCCGGCGCATTTCTTGGATCCTGGACTGGCCTTAGCTGCAAGATCAAAAAAACGAAAATATGAATAATTGCATTCAATTTAAAGACTAATTCGTTCTTGTAACGCTTTGTGCCGTTTATCACGGGTTTAATATGAACCAAATGATTATTTACACATTTGGCTTCGCGTAACAGGTGGTACACGGTGGACTACATGTGGCAAGAATTTTTCAGTTTCCTTTACAAAATGCGAGATTATATAATATATATATTTTCTGTCCACTTTTGCCTCTAGGTTCAATTTTTTTTAAATAATATCATTGTTAAAACTAAACAAGGATGCTACAAATACCAAGGAAATGTTTTGAAAGTGTCCTATAGATCTCTTTGTCTCTCCAAGTGGAAAGATCAAGATCTGATGATAAACACACAATTACAAGTTGCGAATTACCAATTCTTGCCTTAGATAAAGGAAAGATATCCATTGACATAATTTCTGACATTTCGGTTTCTTCGAAAACCTTCGATCAGAGTTTACCCCATTATCCCTTTTATCACGGGAAGTGATATTCTAAAAGTGATCGGTTATTTCACAATTCAAAATTCTGTCACTAATTTAAATTGAATTTAAAACTGAAAGCTTACCTTTCTTGATTTTATTAGCTTTTGGATGTTTGCCGGCTTCTACGAAGACAACGGCCGCTATTAAAAGACAGACTAACAGGGCCTTTGTAGCCATGATTGGGCTCTGAGAATATGCAAAATTAAAAGCCATATATTAGATCTGAGTAAATCACATAGGCAAGATGAGTTTCACTATTTGATTTACGAGTGTAAATTAAAGACCGCGCTGAGACTTGGTGATAAGTAAGTAGGTTGTCTACAGTGGGTTGACAAACACTTCTTTTCCTGTAACAAGTCTGAGGTAGGCGGTTCGTTTCCCTTTCTTCTACCAAGTCACAATCCCACGCTGTATTGTAATAAAAGTGAAAAACGCGGTTTTTTGCTCGTCTGTTTTCTATTAGCTTGGCTAGCTGTACCAATTTTCTTGAGCTTAGTCTCTCCATTTGGAAACTGTATCATAAAACTTGTGAAACTCACCGTATCTCTGTGGCTACTCCCGCAAACTCGGATTGAATTATGATAAACTGCAATAAAACGTTTTATGCCAGGGCCCCGATAACACTTAATTATTTACCAGTCTTTGTAATCCCTGATTCACTAAGGTCAGGACCGTAGGGCGTTAATTATTCACGACCAGTGAGGTGATTTGGGTCTCGCGCGTAAGTTCATATTTCGGGAAAAAGACGAAATTTTTGCTGCTGGACATTTTGATTTCGCTTGAAATATCCACCAATGTTATCATGTAATTTTCAGTGATAGAGATCCATTAGTATTGTTTTTCGAAAGGTCATTATCTAAGTTTACAGTTCTCGGATCAGGTCAGTACGTGTTGTTAATATTTCAGTATTCACCAGTTGTGTCGTTAGAAATGACAAGGAAACACCAGAAATTTGTAGGAAAACCGCTTTGGAAGCCCATTTATCCTCTATTGTGCGTTTAAACCTTACATAATTACTAATCTAGACCCCTACATCTTTATAGAGGAAAGTTATTACCACGTGAAATAAACTTTATTTCGCAGTCCGAAATCACTGAGATTCCAGCGTATAACAAAATAATTTCGCACCAAGACATTTTATTTTGACTTTCGTCTGGAATACCTGTTAGTGGAAAAGAGTTAATCGTTTGCTATTTAACGTTATTTCAATAACTGAAGTGCTTTTCCAACCATCATTGGCGTGATAATGATACGACATTAAGAAAAGGGGGAAGTTTATCGAGGGTACACGCCCTGTTGTTAAACCACGACTACCAAATTTGATGTTCATACGGATCATTCGATTTGAAGACACCTCGCTTTGTCTGGCAGAAATCAATATTTGGATCTTTTATCTTTTACAGTCGTATCTTAATATTTGGAAAGTGGAAGAAAAATTACGACAGAGAGCTATTGACAATATGCTAACAGATAAATTGTTTGTAGAAATCAATGATAAACAAACCTATAACTTGTAAGTCGATGGGCGAGTGAAACCTGAATGCAATCTTTTGTTCGCTTTGCTTGTGGTTTTTGTTAATTGTCAAGCGAAGATTCTTTAACTACAGAAATCGGGGTATTGTTTCCTGGACAAGATGCATTTTATCTGAACGATGCAATTTATTTTGAATGCAAACTTTTAACAAAAAAAATTATCGCAACTCAGTGTGTTGTGAAAAATTGCTTTGACTTTCATGTCATCCAGACGGTTTTTTTTTCTTTTAACCTTGTGTTAAGTTATGAATGTTTATACTTGAAAGAGCCTTTACTCAGGAAAATTGACATTTGAATCAGTTAATTCGCATGGGTGCATTTTGGTAAGAGAGTTTTCAAAGAGGCAATTAACAAACAGACCGAAAGGCAAATAATTAAACTACCGACGCAATTCTCCTTTTCTTAACCTAACAAAAGGCGTGGAAGAATTCAACAGAAAACTCGTTCGAATTTAGCAGCAAAAAAAAAAATTTCACCCTCTGAACATGGTCACCTAGCTTCCATCAACGACTTAATCTTGAGTGATACACACACGAAAAAAAAAACACAATTACTGACAAGTCCTGGAGTCAGTTATATTTAAATTTGTTTTGTCGCTCAAATCAGGCATATGATATTTGCAGTTTCTGTGGAGGCTATTTAGAAGAGTTTCATTGCAAAAGGTTGCTACTTACACTGTAACAAGATGGCTATGCTGGAGAAATAAAACAAATCCTTCTTAGACAAAAAACAAATAAATAAATTCAATTCAGCGTCACACTGCATGAGAAGACTGTCAGTATAACCAGGTGCTTTTGAGTAACAGCTCATCCTCCATCGCAAACGACGTTGGTTTAAAAGGAAAATTAACCACTATATATCAAATGAGGAGTTATTTTCTCTGGGGTGTACAAATCGTCTGAGGTGCAGCGAAAGTAGTTTCGCATTTGGCTGATGCGCGAGTTTTTTAAGTGCCAACGAAAAGTAATTAAAACCAACACCGAGCAGTCTGGCATCACTTGAAACTCTCAATTTAAAGTTACCCTATCATTCTTGCTTTTTTATTCATTATGTTCTTTGAAATAAATTAAAGTAAAAAATGAGGAAAAGCTGACAGCACATGCCCCAAACGTGGCGGACGCGATGCTCTACGCCCACTGCAAAACCAGGTACTGTTCAAATGTTTTTAAGGTACCAGTGACAAAGGTCGTGAACCAGGCATTTTAAAAAACAAGCAGCTGTCTAGGAGACAAACACAATATAGAGGGCTTTTCGATTGACATTTTCTTAATTTTTTATTATTAAAAATACAGTTTTCCGACCAACATTTTTATAACCTCATTATCTATATGTACAAGACTTTCGCCAACACGAAAATGTAGATTGTGTTTTAATATTGAACTAAATTTCAGCAGTTTAGCATACTGTTAACGTTGTCGATACATCTGAACCTTCGTGTACAAAAATACGTCTATATGGTGTAAATCTAAGAGCTCTATTGAAATGTGAGTGGGAATGTTGAATTAAAAGTATCACTTTCTCTGTTTGGATTTCCGTTTTGATAAGTTGACTTTTAAAGAATTTTGACAGAATGTCGCAAACGTTTACCAGTAACGCCAAGTTCTGTTCACTTCAAAACTAAGCTATACATTAAAACCTATTCATCTCTGAGGATTACCTCAGGGGAGCATCGGGCTAAGAGACCAAGAAGAACTCATTACAGAGTTAATTCCCTCGAGTTATTTTTAGATTCGAGGTATCTGTTCTCCTAGGGATCATGCTGCACGTGACAAGGGAGTCGCTTGAATCCTTTGTTGAAGAAACACAAATCGCTGCATGAAATATCCAAACACAACTTGCGACACATGATTAGTTAATGTACATCTTTAGGAATCACTACACACGAGAGAATCCGAGCATTATCTAGACGACGTGACGCGCGAATGACATCTCCAGTTGATCCTCTCTAATCAGAACTGAAATTTTGAAGTATTCTTCCTTATTTGGATTGCACACGACAGCCCATACAAAGCTTATAAAACTGACTATGCTAACAGAATCACTTATTATTGACTGCTGGACAGAATATCCTGCAGAGTCCTACAAATACTATAAACTACCAACAATTGTGAGCCGAAAAGTTTCAGAGGGAAAAAATAATCATTAAATCTGTTACTAAGTCAGTACCACTGTTCCAAAACAGTGTTCACTCTAAGTTCATGTTGTCATTGAAAACTTGCACTTTTTCAAGGACATCATAAAAACCTCTTAAATCGTAGTCTTCTCGTTGCTGTATTCCTCCCGAATTATTTTCATGACTTAAAAAATAGTTCTTTAAAATTAAGTAACGCACCGGGGTTTCACTTAGGTGTCACGCAACATTCCTAGTTACAACTCAAAGGGATAACTTTTTTTGCAACTTTTTTATCCTCCAACTTCATGAAGATGAGCCGCTGCTTGCATCTCCCGACGAAACCAACAAATCACTGCTTCGCAAAAAGCCTTGTTCACTATCATCCTTATGAGCTTTCTTATGCGTTGCCAAAGTTACTTTCTTTGCTGTCTGTTTTGATTTCACCTGCTGAATTTTAGACCTCTTACTAGCTTCATAGAGAGCGTCCTCATCAAGGTCAGAAGTTGTTTCACCTGACGCAGACTCAGAGCCTTCAGCTCCGCCCGACACCTGCGCAGATTCAGGTGCTTTTGTGGGAGCAGCAAGTTTGGGAAGAGGCGAAATAATAAGCGCTGCCATTTCCATTCGACTCATGTCTGAAATAAAAGACAAATAGTATCGCTGTAGATATAAAGATTTTCAAGTGGGCGTATGAACACGACGTTGTATTTCTTGGAAAGGTAAAGTTAATTTGAATATTTGTGATCAATTGATGGTTTCTCTTTGGGCTAATGCAGCTTAGAACGTAATACGACAAAGTGTTCAACAAAAAAAGCCAGCCATCATTTTCCATGACTTTGAAGAAAAATATAGCTATACTGTCGGAAAAAAAAAATAATAAAAAAACATTTTGATTGATATGTTACCTGCAGTCCTTTCATTCCACTGTTGCCACAGAGGCTGCAAACTAGCTGGGATGCGAGGAGCGCAGGTCAGAGGTTGACAAGTGTGAGTACATGGGCTGCAGACTGGTAACGAGCATTGAGCACACGTGTTACACGGACTACACGGGTCTGGTGGAGCCATGTAAGGACTCGATGACATGAGATCCGGGACTCCCATACCAGGGGCATATGCCGGGGGAGGCTGGGCTGAGAATGTGATAGATATTACTGATATGAGATTTAGTCATGCTAAAATCCAGTAGATTTATCGTGTATAATTAGAGAGGTTAAGCATTGCATTCACGGTGAACAGCAGTTATTGAAGTTGATGTTGTCTGTTAGGGTAGGCATGAAAGTGATGTACATTCAGAGTGAAGAAGGAATCCTTTTACGATTTCTCTTCAGAGATCGATAAATCATTATGGGGAAAGTAAACAGAATTGGAGATAATTTTTGCCGTTTGACACTCTAATCTTACTCAACAACTCACAGACAAACCCAGAAAAGTTAGAAATAATATCACTCACCATAAGGAGCTGGGGCATAGGCGGCAGGAGCTGGAGGGGGCTGGTAACTAGCTGTAAAGAAAATTTACCCAACTTCCAATGACATAAAAAGTTATCCTTAGATAGAGAACGAAAAAACGTCTTTAATTTACTGAACACATTATTGCGGGTAACTAGCGCTCTCAGATCAACCAAATGGCGGCTTTTTCTGTTCGATGCGATCTTTATGAGAGAAAAATGGTTGTGGTTTTTTATCTAGCTATTAATAGGGTAATTCTCTGCTTTTACTTAGCAATTTTCTCATAAAGTGAGACCTAATTTACTTTGGGAACATAGTGCATCATTGGAGAAGATGATCTGAACAGGGAGCCTTAATAAAAGGAAAATTCGAAATATTAAAACGAATTTAATCGTTTAAAAATTTCGCCTAACATAAATCCACATTTAATTACAACTCTACTTGAAAAACGTTTTAGCGTTTTAGCACGTTAGTAATTCTTTGTCAAAGCTCTCATAATTATGGTTACTTTCACGCCTATAATACGTTCACTGATGGCAAAGAATAAGCACAGATCTTACTCAAGCGCTACATGAAAAAATATGTTAAAAGCACAAAGTAACTATGGACTCAAGTTTTTATCTCATTGTGACTATTTACTCAGACTACAATACGGCTCCAAATAACTCACCTTGACTAAATCCCGCAGCAGGAGGGGCCGGGTAAGGCACTGTAACAAAAACCCAATAATACCATGAGATTAGAAACAATACCAACAGCAACAATTTCAAAGATCTTTGAAAACGACATTAAAGCACATGTAAACACCTTGGAAAATAAACTGCGGTAATTGAATTATTGACTGGAGCGGACCAGGTGAAGATTGCACTATCGGTTGTGCTGGCGGCTCGCGTTTTTCGCTTGCTATTGATATCGATATAAAATTACCAAAATATCAGTCATGGAAATTAATCCGTACACGAAAGATCAAGACTCATAAACTCTGATTTATCCATTAAAACGAGCTTAAACCTTGTTCATTAGGCTTTGAATGGTATTTCCAAAGATCGTACCACTGAAGTGACGGAGCTGAAAAAAATACGAAAAATGATCAAGAGTTCCGACTCCTAGGCACATTTTGTTGAAAAAAAATCTAGCCAATTTGGTATTCGATACTCGAGTTGAAATACCTGCAAAAGCAAAATTTAAAAACGCAACAGAAACAATTGCAAAAATTTCCACTTCGGAATTCCTCATCGTGTAGCCCGAAGTTTCATCCAGATCAAAGCTTCCAATCTACAAAATGTTTATTTTTATGTCAGGTTACGTATTTCCCCTAAGTGTCTGTTTTGCGGGTAGATATTAATTTTAACTCCACGTGATTGGTTGATGAAAATCAAGTCATAATAGCTCTTTTGGGATGACATTACGCGCTCAAAGCAGGGCGTGTTAATTGATTTATCGAACCCAAATATATTTTCACCCCGGTTACGCAAATAGCAAGAAAAAAGGAATGAACGCTCAGTTGACGCAAGAGAAAGATCTAGAGTTATTGTAGGCCAAAGTTTCAGGAAATATTCAGGCTTTTTTTCCGTTTAGCAATTTCTCTGCTAAAAATTCGTTATATAGTTACTTTTCGAAAAGAACATTCCTGAAGATTATCTCCACTGCAAGTTTAAAATCCCTGGGTTTTCCTCTAATTAGTTAGTCTTTTTTAAGTTCATAGCCAGAACAAGAAATTATAATCTCTTGGCCAGTACCATAACAAACGATTCATTTTCACTCTTTAACCAGTAATCGTTTAAAAGTGCCATTATATTCTTTGCCGAAGGGAAGAGCCTTTTAGGAACCTGTGGACAACAGCTGCAGCCTCTAAACATCTGAGACAACAACTAAACATCATCAGCCTTCTTAATTTCTAGCCCTTTCTCTGTATCGCACCTATGCAGAGTGATGAAAAGAGAAATAAAAAAGAAAAAGCTTCGAACAAAGCTTCATTTTTTAACCTGTCACACTGATGAGTTAATTCAATTGTCAACCAGGAGTACTTCGCTGCTCATTAGGGCTTAATAGCAGAACTGGGAAAAAGTTATTTTTGACTTCGACATAACGGGACATTCCAGATCCGAAATATTTGAGAAACTCAGTCTTATTCTTCTCAAAAGGAAATCTAACTCCTCGGGTCTGTAAAAGACTGGTGCTTCTGCCTTATCACTTGGATTTCAAAAAAAACTTGTTTATTGTAATTCACTGCCGCCCAAAATCGAATGCCCCTCCAGGCTTTGGAGATGCGGTAGAATTATAGCTGGGAAGAACTGGACTGGACTCTAGGTTCAAGCCCGGCTCCGGGTCACCTATTTGTGTTCTTAGAAAGAGGTCATTTTCTCCCCCAGTCCACTCTCCACCCAGGAGAATAAGTGGGTGCTAGTAATCTGTCAGAGAAACCTGACGAAATTCTAGGGGAGGGGTAGACTCGGGTGGATAAGCATCCAATCCATGTGCGAATAGCAATACTTCGTGTCACTTCTTCTGATCGAGATAAGCTGCCGGAGACCATTTAAAGCAGTCTCGAATACAGACCTCATTTTACCCATCAGTTTACTTACCCGGATTATTCACGCAGTCGTAGTTGACATCCAAATACTTGTTAGCGTCCGGGCACGCATCGCCAAACCAGTCATTGCTCGCAGCCAAATCACAGCCCTCCAGACCATCACACCGTTTCTTCACCTTTTCGTAAGTTCCAGGAGTGCGGCAGAATCCCACCGGCATCGGATTGTTTTCCTTTAGGCAACCGACATCACCCATGTCACCAAAATCAGCATTTAACACCCTTATCCTATGTTCGGGCGGGCAAGATATTTTCTGTATCGTGTCTTTGCATATGATGGCTCTTTGAGATGGGGCGGAAAAGACTCCACTTTGACGAGCTGAAAAGAGAGGTAAGACAGGAATCAACTTTTTTCAAAATCGGCCAAAATAGTTCGATGGCGCTTATGAGGCAACGCTCATTCACGATAACCATATTGCAGTTACAAACCGAATGCGATCTTGCCTTAGCCAGGCGTAATCTTCCGCCAGGTTTGCTCTTGATACTTATTTTTTTTGTTTGTTTTCCTTGGAGTGCTTGCGTAAAAAAGTCCTTTTTTTGTTGTTGTTTGTTTTTATGGCAAGTTTAAGATTAAAAATATATTCGAACGTTTAAAACACTGCATCTGACGATGATTTTCTGATGCTTAGCAACGAAGCAAGCCTCAGGTCGAGTTTAAGTTAGATGTAGAATGTAATACACAAACAGATATTGGACAACATTCGACAACCTCATAAACTTTATAAAAACTCTTAACTCTTACTATTGGCAAGATAGGCCAAGGCTTTTTCTTGTTGCTGATCGGCAGCATATTTTGACTGCGCCTCGGCCATTTGTTTGGTCTCGTCTATAGGGGGATTTTCATTTTCTTGAGCAGCGGAATCACTTCTTTGCGTGTCACTATCAAGTGGTGGGGGCACATCTGCATCAATGTCCTCGACTGTTTCAGGTTGTTCTTCCTCGTTTTGTCCCTTCTGACCATCTTCTTCATCTTTAACACTGTCACTGTCAGCTTTCTTAGAAGTTTCATCAATTGCTTGTGCTTCTTTAACTTCCTTTTGAGGCTCGCTGGCAAGTTTCTCTGAATCGATTTTCGTTTTGTCATCATCACCTTGGACCACCTCATTGTCTTTACTATCTGATTTTTCAATAGGTAACTCTGATTCGCTGCCCGATGCTTCTGCGTCACTAATTTCCTGGCCACTAGCGATCAGTTCCCCGCTTGAAGCAGCAAGAGCTTCCTTGACGTCATTGTCACTTATAGTTTCGTCATCGTCCTCGCTATCGTCGTCATCAGTACCTTCGTCTACAGCATCATCACCTGATCCTGCTTTGTCAATATCATTGCTATCTAAAACAAAGCAAGTTGGAACATATTAGGATAACGTATCATGCTGAATAAAACAGTTAAACTACAGAGGGTGAAAGAGTCGTTATAAAAATGTTTAGGTTTGGTAGACAGTAGCTTGTAGCAAAGTACTAAGCTTAAGTTTTGTCATTTTTATTTCTATTTTTACATTCATTCAGTACGTAATGGGCCGTCGGTTTGTAGCTTTCTCAAGTGAATGTACATGTCATGTCTTCCGTCGTACTTTCCTGACTCACTCAGTACAGTCGAAGGCGTGAACCTGAACCACCTTCTCTGTCACCAAAGTTTGTTTTCAGTTATCGTAGTGGATCATTGTAAGATGCTGTTCACGGAATGTCCACGTAGCGTCTAATTCATGTGGTGTCCTCATGATCACTCTGAACAGTTCGTCCAATTCATAGAGAATTCGAAGCGCTTAAAAAGTGGATTTGTCTTTCATGATGATTTGTCTTTTATCCCTGTGATGTACATAAAATGACTTAAGCGATGGTTCTGTCATTTGTATTGTGTCCCTCTAAGAGTTATTGTTGTCTTCATCTGTCTTGAATTGGTTGCTGTCATCTCAAGAGTAAAGTCTTTGTCATAATATCTTGTAGGGAAAACACAAAGGCGATGAGACCATGTAAAAAAGCGAAAAAACTATTAATCTATTAAACCATTAATTTCGATCTTTATTCATTTTTTATTTTTTTGAGCCGTAAATTGTTTTTTTGGGAAGTGATCTTCGATCACTCAATTTTTTATTTCCATTGAAATTTCTGTCGAAGAAAACTCTTCGAACAGTTATTTTGTCTTTTGCTCAATTGTTTGCTACTGGTGGACGAAAAGTCTCATCGCACATCGTGTCAACTACTCACCATCTCCTTGCAGCAGACCAGCGAAGTACAAGGCTGATTTATAAATATCAATGGCCTGTTGCCGCGTCAAGTTCATGGGAAGGCCTGGCACTGGAAATGGAGGCATATTTGGGTTATCATTCGTGCCTGCTAACATGAATGCCACTTTGGAAATATCGTCTCTTAAGTCCTTTTCGTCATATCCGCTTCCACTTCCGCTGAATTCCGGCTCTGGCTCTTTCAGGTCAGCCGTATCATCAAATTCCGGCTCTGGTTCTTTTAAGTCAGCGTTATCATCCATGTCGTAAGATTCGTCAAATCCAGACCCCGAGCTACCAGAGCCGGAAGTCGGAATATCATTCGGAAGAACGAAAGGGGTCTGAATGCTTGGGGTTGTACTCTTTGTGACAGTTTTGATGGGAAGTTTTATTTGCATCGAAGATGGCTGAGGAGACAGCATACCGTGAAATTTACCCTGCATAGCTTTATCATTGTCTCGGAAATAACTTGTCACTGGAACGTTCTTCTCCTGATCTGCAGGGACTCTATCACGAACGTCTTTTACGACTGGAAAAGCACTCTTTGGCATCATTCCCGGATAATTTACTTGGTAACCAGGACTTGCTGTGTATCCACGCGTCCATCCTTGTTGTTGGTAGCTTGAGTACCATGGAAAGCCAGAATACCGTCGGTAGCTAAGTTTGCTGTGATCCATAGGTTTCGGATAATTCTGAAGGTAACGAATGTGCGGGTAAGATTGTTGACTAATATCTGTCTTTCTAACAGCTGAGGATTTACCTGAAACTTTCCTAAAATTTTCGACTATTTCTGGGCTGAAAAAGCCAGGTGGAGGCCAATAAATTGTATTTTTCCTATCCAAATTTGATTGTTGTCTGTAAACGTTTGTGATGATACCACTTTGATCTTCCTTAGAGGTTAGACCGTCGTTGAGCGAGGTAGGAAACATGGATGCACCAGTATCCCCTAGGTTTGTCGAATAATTAGAAATTTGTTTGGTTCCATTTACACCGGAGGCTGATAAAATTCCAGCTGACAAGTTTCTTGTCGACGGATTTCCCACCGGTTGATCTTTACTCGATGGGTTCCCTGTTGATAGGATTCCCGCCAGACTTCCAGTCAGTTGTTCACCCATGGGTCGATTCCCTGCCGTAATAACTCCCGCCAATTGTTTTCCTGGCGACTGATTTCCCACCAGTTGATTACCCACCTGCTGCTTTCCCGCCACAATATTTCCCGCCAGTTGAGTTGTCAGCGGTGGATTTCCCGCAAGTTGGTTCCTCTCCAAAAAATTTCCCGCCATTTGGTTTCCCACTTGGAGATTCGTCATTTGTCGATTTCCCGCCAATAAAACTCCTGCAAGTGGATTTCCCGCCATTCGGTTTCCCGCCAGTGTGTTACCCGTATAGCCAGCAACCGATGGAACATATGATCGTCGATTGTTTTGATCGTGTATTGTTTGATTCTTTTGATTAATGATTCTTAACGGAACTGTTGTGCTGTTTAAATCGGATTGGTTCCGCGAAACTAAACTTGCGCCAGTTTTTATACCCTTTGTCTCCGGAATAAATGTTCTTCGAATGTTTTGATCGCTTCCTTGATCAACCTGGCTCAAGTTCTGTAACCTTTGAGCTATCAAGTTGTAGATAGCCGCGTATTTATCACTATTTTTGGCTGCGAAAAAATCAGACCCTTTCAAACATGGCTGCCCACTTACTTGTAGCCTGTGAGTCGATATCTATAAAGATAGCTTAATGGAACGTACGGCTTATTTGCATCAGACCTTACTGGAAATAAACTCACATTTAAGGATTTTTCCTGGAAAATTTATAAACTTTTTCTCAATTTTCCCTTTTTTTATTTCTTTCGTTCAGCTCCTAGACGGAAGGGAGAATGGGCACCAGATCTCGTATGACCTCAAATTGACTTATTATCCCATTACACTCCCGAATCCACAATCAACCAGTAACACAAGCCTAGCTCGTTATAGTAAACGAAAATTGAGCTGGCTGTCGGATTTTTCATGTCATTTTGTCACAAGTATTCCAATAAATTTTGTGCAACTTCCAGAAGATATAATTCTGTACGCCTTTTTCTTCATTCTCTTTTGCTGGCCACCTGTGTCTTTGCTTGTTTATACATGAACAGAGGTCACTAAGTCAAAAAAACTAAAACAAGATCTCAGGGATTTTGAGAAGGATGAGAAAACAAATTCAATGCTTGGTTTCAAATCACATACACTTAAGTGATTTTAGTTGATTGTGGAAATTGGAAAGTGTTCGGTAAATGTTCCTTGTAGAAGGCCTACTTTGGCATGCAGGTATGATAAACGGGCATTTACAAAAACATGGTCTAACATCTTACCTCCCTCAATTGGCATCGAGGAGGACGGTCGAATACCAAAAGCCAATAGAAGTCCAAACAAAAGCGCCACAAGAAATCTGAGACTAGGCATGACAAGTTGGGTGGTAATGTTCCCGTGTTTAAACGACGATGAAAATAGGTTTTCTTAAACCTACAGGACCAAGAAAAATAATGTCAAACAGGTAATGAACAAACAAGTAACATAACTACAAAACAACCCAGTTTAAGTCCTTGTGCCAGAACGGAAGACATCGAACTAATTTTACATATCTTGTTTATACCTGTTGATCTCTTAGCTCGAATGGCTAAAAAAAGTTAAAACCAAGATTGTCAGAAAAGTCCCCTAGTTGCTAACAAAATGCTTGCTCAAAGCTTCAGAGGTTAAAAATGACTGTGATCACCGACGCGTAAACTTCTGGGTGTCAAAACTGGTACGCCTTTGAAGTTGAATGTCAACGAGACAGCTCAACCTTTCAGCAAAAACGAGAACATTAAATGCAAGAATTACCAACGTTTACCTTTATCCGTGTGTCTTGATTCCAAATTTTGTTGAAGGGGAATTATTTTCACTTACAACATTTTATTTTCGAAACAGTCTAACATCCACCAGAACGCTTGAACGCACCACAAGGAAATAACTGAAGTAATCTTTACTGGTGCCGTGGCGCCCCTACAAATCAGTGACATAATATCCGAGTAATTCTAATTATAACTCGCAAGTTGATTGGTCGGGTTTTGTAAGGGTTAAAGCAAGCTGACACTTAAGTCTTAGCAAACACAAAAGCTTTTTTTCGCATCATTTCCTCTAAGTACGATTTTAAACGATTTTTTATAGCCAAAATATCAAGTGTTAGAAACCTCTCAAGCGTTTGAGAATATTCTAAATCCTGACAGTGGGGAGTAATCTGCGTTCCCTTCTCGCGAATTGATTGGTTCGACAAACTGAAGCATGTTGTTGATTTCAAGGAAGTTGAAAACTACTTGATCTGTTGAATGAAACATCGACAGATCGAACGAGATACATCTCAGTTTTTTCTTTGTCACGTGCTCGTGAATACTTCATTTAATCCTCAAATATCAAACTAGAGTTTTGCGCAGGGCTAGCTTTAGGTTTCCGGTAGGTAGTGGCGGACGACCGGACAACCGGTGTCATGAGCGTGATGACATTGATTCACGTCGGGCAGTGAGATCATTACTTTGAGTCGCGTTTGTGGCTGTTAATCATAATTTTGTTTCAGTCTTTTTTAACATTCGCAGGCCTTTTTTTGAAGTGAGGGCGGGTTATTGAATTAAATTTTGCAGTAATTGGTTTGAACCCAGTAGCAATAGACATTCCGTCAGTCCGTTTGTTCAAGACTTCAACCATTTCTTTTTCTAAAAAAAAAGCATTTTGTAGGCACTTTTAAATTTTTTTTCTTTCTAGGAGTCTTAATTCAGATTTTCGCTGGTGTTGTAAAGCGCCTTTAAAGGATACTGGCGCTGTATAAATCTTTTATTTATTATTATTATTATTATTATTATTATCATTATTAGTATTAATATTACTATTATTAACATACGATCGTGTAGCCTGTTCGTCCGGGTGAGGGTAGTCCTGAGTGGAAATGCCATCGGTGGCAGCGAATGACGTTTCGTCAACTTTTGCGGACGTCATTATATAAGACCTGAACCCTCTCGGGTTTCTTAACGGTCAGTCACTACTACAAACAGCAGTCCTTCTGCAGACTACTCTCCTTCACACGATCAGCCTAAACGATCTCAACAAATTTTTGAACTACGAAGAAGCTCCAAAAGATATTCTGAATACTGTAAAGCTTCCAGATCTTAAATGTGTAACAATTACTTTGGGGATCAATAACTAATATGAATGTTGTATCTTAAAAATTTAACAAAATTCTAAGGATAATCAGTGAGCTCAACGACAAGGGGCGGATCACCATAGTTTCGAAGCCGCTTCGAAAACTGCATGTCAGCTGTTTATTTACGTGCTTAGCGGCGCATCGTTGCATTTAATGATGCGCTTGTTGTGCGTCTGTTTCTCATTTGCCTTGCGTATTTGTGCCGAGTCTTTCACCGTTTTTGCGAACTTCTCGCGTCTAGAAGTACGGAAGAGGTAAGGGCCACATACAAGAGGTGGCGGCGCCTTGTTTCAAACATTTTCGTGAGACTTACAGTACCATGGTAACTTGCACAAAACTAGTCGAACTCATTACAGAAAACGAGCAATGTATTTTAAATGTTTTGCTATTCTTACGTGCTTTGGTTCTACTCTTGGATTTGCACAATTAAATTTCGTAGAAATGATTGTTCGTTCCCCAGAATGAGATCGGATAACTTTTTTAGTGACCTAATAAAAACTGTGAGCCGTAAAGGGAACTGAGCCACGTAAAAGTTAAGCGGCGTCTCCAACACTAAACTCCAATCAAAATGCTAAAAATCACTCAATATTTATCTGATCCCTTTCATTCTTTTTTTTCGAATCGTCTGTAAACTATGGATGCTGTTGGGGTTTCAATTAACCACTGAACAGGAAGTAAAGAAAAACAAGACTCTCTAAACAAGCCTACAACTTGGAATCTTTTTATTTTTTTTCCAAAGAAAAGTAAGACTTACAAAGGAAGTATTTACATGCTAAAGGATGAAAAACATAGGTTTTACATCTCAGTGCTTTTTACTTGAACTGTGCTTTGTATAAGTAATGGTTACGATCAACGTGAGTACTCAATTTTGACCGTTTCTCATGTCACTGAGTGTCGCAGAACCAAAACCAAAGTCATCGCAACAGTCAATCACAGCAGAGGTAAACCAAAGTCATCTCGATGGCCAATCAGATCAAAGGTGTCACAACAAGCCGATAACAACTCGAACTAAAAACATGAAAGTGACTAAGTCTAGGGCGGTTTTCACTGTGCTTCTGATTGGCCATTGGATATAGCGCGAGTTTCCCAATCCAATCACAGAGCCCACTAAAGCAAAACAAATGTAATCCGCATAACTAACGACCCTCAGTTGAAAATTGCTCTCCAAGAGTGACTAGCAACTACTTTAGCCGTCGCACAATCTTGAACTCAAAAGCGTGACGTGACTGTGACTGATACGTGACAAGAAAAGAGAGTCTACCAAGGCGGGCGAAGTTAGGTCTCTGAGTTCATTTGCTCCTCTACGAAAGCGCAGATTTATAAATTTTTCTTAATATTATAGAGACGTGTTACAACGTGATGGCGACTTAGGGAAACAGCCCTGCCAGGATATCCCTAGCACAGAGTGTGGTCACTAGGCAACTGCTAAATACGCGAAAATTTGTAGTATGGTGTCCCTTTAACAAGCAGGTAGATCACATTGGATAGTTGAACATGACATCTTGTCGGGCCAACTCCAGCAACATAGGATCGTCGAAGAATTTGTTGATGCTTACGTCCTCACTCAAACCCTATAAAAAAATTAAAAAGGCAAGAACAATTAAGCGACCTGCGTCAGCTAACGGAGGCGGACGTATACAGCTCATCAGCTGACCTTTCTTCTCCTTGTCTTGATCATGAATTCTCTGGCCAGATGAGTGGCTGGTTGTGGTTCCAACGGACGAATAATAATGCTCTTATCCAGAGGATCTCCTGGGACGATCTGTGTACGAATAACATGACGTATTATTAGATATAAACCTATGCAGCGTGCGATAAAAAGAATGAGAAGAAAGTTGGAAATGCGGTGCTATAATTTTACCCTTAATCCTTTACCTCCTATGAGTGACTAAGAGAAAATTTCTCCTAACCATATCAATACAATATCAAGCATAGAAGTGATGAGAATAAAGACAAATATCAATTAGGGGATTATTAGTTGATCCAATACCAAATTCTCCAAATTGACATCATAAGAATTGTATGGCAGACAGTAAGGAGAATTAATGATGAGATCTTGGGAGTTAAAGGGTTAAGCCGTGCTCGATAGCAACTATAATCTTTCCTGAATTGCTGCGCTGTGATCAGCCCAATGAAGAAGAACAAAGTTAACTTTAACAAAATTCCGCTTACCTGCCAGTGGTGAAATACTGACAGACAGAACGCCTGTCCCTGGGTGTGAGTCCGCAGATCAGTTTCAAATCCGAAAGAGTCAATAGCGGGAATGAAAGCTTTAACTGTGTACAGTGGAGAACCGGGAACTGGTGCATCCTGAGTTACATGACCCCTAAAAACACAAACAAAAAAACACACAAATTAATAAATACTACCTCCAAAAACATCTTCACCTGATCTGAATCAGGCGGCTACATGTACGTTAAAGAGCACAGGGAATCCTTCAATCACTGATCTTTACGATAAATTACTTGAGAGTAACTCGAATGTAATAACTCACCTTCGACGAGCTAAAACGGTGTATACCGAGGACACACAATCAGCTGGAGCCTGGACCTCAACGAAGAAATACGGCTCCATCAGCCTGGGTGTAGCCTGGCAAAAAACAACATACGACAAATAAGTTATATAAGTTGTACGGAAACCATCGATCATTGATGCCATGAATGATATCTAGAACGAGAGGTCACTGGGACAAATCACATGGTTTGCAATTTGGCTCTTTCGAAGATCGCTGGCTGAAAAAAGAAGTGGGTGAGATTCAGAAACGGGATTGTTACTCACCATCAAAAATGCTGAGTACGCCACTCTCCTGGCTGTAGGAATGATCTGCCCTCCTCCTCTGTGGATTGGTTCGCCAGCGATCACAGCATCAAGGATCTTGAACTTCACATTTCTTATTGCTAAAAGAACAAATTCATCAGAAAATCAGTATGTACAAATAAGGAAAACATGATAAAAATGTTTCAGTCGTAAAAAAACACTTTTCAACTACAAAAGCCTCCTTTAATCTCGAAATTTTCTCAGAGATTTTTTCTGCGGACATTAATCGTACCGTAGAACGAAACAATTTCGAGCGCGAAGCTCGAGAAAAATGTGAGATTGAAGACATAGATGATGTCTGAGAGCAAATATACGATTGCATTCTCAATCTTGAACAAGGCTAATGTTTTCGTAATCCTTAGAATATTTTGTGTATATCGAGAACGGATTTTAAGCTTTGACAAAGGACGATCTTATCCGCTGGAAATTGTTCTCTTGATATCACGTCAAATCCTTAATCCTGGAGTACGAGTAAAATAATAACAGCTAAATTATTTATCAAATAATGGGAGTAAAACGGTTTCAAAAGACTTACGCTCATCACAAAGAGGTCCCTCCCTCGTAGCCCACTGAAAACCTTGAATAATTGAATCTTTCACAGTGTTGAGTAAACTTTTGTCCACCTAAAAACAGAAGAAAAATGTTTTCAGATAATGTGCTTATTCATCTGTAGCCGTAAAATGACACAGCCTATCGCCAAAAGCATATAATCCACACTTAACTGTGTTAACAAAGCAAGTAAGTAGAAATAATGATATCAAGTACGATAAGCCTTTAGTGCAGTGAATAGGAAGGCAATTGGAACTAAAATATTTCAGTTGCTCAAGGACATACCTCAGACGGAAGCGTATCGTCCACAAGAATATTTGGTCCAGAATTGTCAGGTCCAAACGCCCAGATTGAACGAGCTGCCAACAAATCCCAGTCGTATTTGGTTTGGAAAAACTCTCCAAGCTTTTTCCTGTGAAGGTGAAAGAAGAAAAGTGAATCTTCCCGCCCAAAAGACAACTTTAACTAAACTTGTTTCATTGTTGTTGTTGTCGTCCATTTTTTTCGGACTTACTTGTTCCATGTAATTAAAACTTTTTCATTTTCAATGTCCTCAGCTAAGCCTTTCTCCAAAGGTTCTGCAATCATAGTTATCTTGTTCCTTAAAATATAAAAAGAAGATATAAGTCATGAAAATGGAAGGAATGAATAGTTTCTCTTTCGTTTCTTCGCATACACCAAAACATTAAATTCGCACCCGCGCAAACTGCCGGAATCAAAGGCGGCAAAATTGAGGGACGCAGAGCTATACAAGTCACGGGAGAGCGTAGCAAACGGAAAGCTGAGAAAACACAAGTATATAACGTCAAATCCAGGCAAATTAACAAAGAAAACCATAGAACTACGTCTCACTTTTTGTTTGGTGTTTCTGCGAAGCACTTGAGTGATGAAGTCTCTACGACAGTTTCACAGAACGCCACAACAGGATCAGCGACCTTGATTTCTGAAAATCAAATAAAGCGACATTAACATTCCTCTCCCAAATATATGGACAATTTTGCAAAGGAAAAGACAGAAACTATCAAAACTCCCCACAAAGAAAAAAATTGAAGACTCTTTCCTTTCAGAATTTGCGAAGTTTTTTTAATAGTTCGCTGTGACTCATACGACTTTCTTCCCAAGGAACACTTTTTAAACACGAGAGAATAAGTATGGCCAAGACCCACCTATCTCGGAGTACATCTTTCTCAGATCGTGCAGGACACAGTCCAAATAAAGCTCTCCTGTACCGAGGATCACGTGTTCTCCTGACTCTTCAACCTGAGGAACAGGATCAAGAACCGGTTAAACCTGTTCGTCGCGAACATCAAATCAGATAGGAATCCAAAAGAAAAACCCATGACACACTTCGAGACCCTGAGATTACACTCGACTCGTCGAAGGGGCCAGTCAATATTCCTCACCTGGGGGGAGGGGTCGGGAGACTATGGGCGGTTCACATGGTTTTCAGGGGGAGTGGAAGGGGAGCAGTCGTCACCAACTGAATATAAAGGAGGCCTCCATATAATTTTACAAGTTTTGATTAGACAGTCGGCACAAAATTATTTGAATGCTATTCCAATCATTCGTGCACGACCAGACCAAAGAAAAACTTAGCGGAAAAAAAAATTTAACACAACAAAAAGATTGCCAGCTTTCTTAGTTAGTCATCCCTCGTGGATATAGTATGAAGAAAACGAGTGCAGATATTTTACCTTTGTAGTGAGCAGTGGATAGCTCTTATTCACTTTTCTCAGACCGTCCAACATCTTAGGCAGCTCAGAAGGATTGTGAGGCTCCACAGCGATCTTAATGGCTGAGCATGTGTTAAACTTCAGCGGTCTGTATATATACGCCTGAAAAGTAGAGAATCACCCAAAATATAGCAAAAAAACGCCCTCTAAACGAAAACTATGTCAAAGGTCTGCGTAGCAGTTAACTAACCTCGTCGTTGCCTTGTACTTGAGTGATAGTTGATGTTTTAACGATAGGTTCGTCGATTCCTTCAATTAGCACCCAGTTTCCTGCCGGTACACGGCTAACTTCAATGTTGTACCTGAACAGGAATAGTGCAGCTCGTTAGTAGAACAGCATTAGTTTTACAAAATCGTCAATTTTAATCTTACTCCGTCTCTCTTTTCAATCCACATGGTATCTCGCCTAGTCTTCTCTTCTTTTTATCATCGCTACTTAATGTATACCTTGCTAAGAAATGAGATTCTTACTCTCGATAAATTAACTGGAAATCTGATCGAAACATTTATATGCTATAACGCCGCAACTGCGGCTCTTGCAACGCTACCTTGCTTCAGCGATCCACAACCTTCCAACCTACAAGACACAAAAGCAAAATTAAGAATAATTTTACATTTACAAAATAAACAAACGCGTACTCAGATACTTTAATGATCAAAGGGTAAAAAGGGAATTGGTTCTCACCGTTCCAACGCGAGAGTCTTCCTCGTCCTCGATAGTGTAGTTCTCACCGAGTATTCGAGCTTGTTGACCAGCATAAACTACGAGGAAAATAGAAAGATTTTAGAAAATAGTTATGGGAAGAATCAGGCTAACAACAAGTACTACTCAAAAATGCGTTTTGAAGAGTATTATGGTACATTTCGAAGTAGCCTTTTGAATCTGACTTAATATCCAACATACTTGTTCCACTCATGACTCGTCCAAACACGTGAAAAGCTGTGGCATCTTGGGAAGGATATTGTTTGGACGTATGAAGCATGAGAGGTCCCTGACAAAGGAACAGCAAACAGTTACTTGTCTTTGGAAAGATAGCTTTCAAGATTAGAGAAATCGGAAAACAGAAAAACACAATACAATGCTTCACATAGTGAGAACTTCAGCGTTACATATGTAACCTCCAATCAACACTGACAAATTCTCTTAAATAAAACGACAAAAACAAGATCTTCAAACGAATATGAAATGTTCTCTTCACCACACAACAGATGTTCAAGTTCACAAGTAACTTACATCAGGATCGCAGTCATTCATGGCGTCCACGACTTCGGTGTCCAGCGGTCCTGTGTACACATGTTCTATCTGCATGAAAAAAACCCAAGACATTATGTTAAGAATAGGCAACTTACACGTACAGTACCGCCCAAAAGTAAATGGACAGTTCCTTGTGGCTAACCATAAAGTGTAACATTGATGTCGCTTACCTTAGTCTTGGCTGCTGCTTTGGGAGAAGGTATATGCTGAACACACACGTCTACAAATCCTTGAAGAGAGAGAGTTCGAAGAAAAACATGTTAATCAGGTAAAATACTGCCTTAACTCCTTGTATATCATGTTACAGGACTGACTTGTACAGCTGCGGGAGGCATATTCCAGTTTCTACAGCATGAAGCAACTAATTCATCACGTTGCCTAGACACTTTGTTGGAATCAATTTAACTCCTTAGTAGCAAAGCCAGCTGCCTGCAGGCGTTCATAATTATCCCGGCGGCACGACCGTTCCTTTGCCCACGAGAGAATTTAAAGCCCTAGTAGAGCGACCTGCGAGAGGTTTGCAAGGGGTCTAGCACCTGCGAGAGAGAGGTGTCTCCTCGAAGAACACACCATAACGACGTCGTCAAGGCCTGAGCCCAGACCTTTCCATGCACAGTCCATCATCCTTTAAATTTAGCGGATACAAAATGTGAATGAAAAAAATCATCGGCATTGGTTGGAAACGTTGGTTATTTTTCATTGGTATTCTTCCTTGAAAGAAGATCGAGCCGTCCCCTTATTGCAAGGTGAAATTGTAATTACTTTTTTCTTGTTCCGCATCAAGTTTATCAAGTACACTAGTAATTACTGACAATTTCATACCTGTAAAATCTCCAAAGAATCTTTTACAAACAAGACTAAGTAATGGTCTGATATTCATCTGCATCTCGGACTTTGACAAATGAATACCTGAAAGAAAAGGAGTGAAGAGTGAAAATACAATAGAAACGCTTTTTAGTTTCTTGCGTAAATGTTATTTTTTGCCACAGCATGATAGTCATAGATACGGAAACATTCTTGTTCAGACAACACATACATGCTATTGGCAGTCAACAACAACAACGTTTTAAATACAAACCCAACTCGTCCATAAGCTTTGGAAGGCTCGTGTCTGCATCACCTACCACCTGGAACAAACAACAATTAGGAAAATTCAAAGTGCTGTAAATTGTACTCAACAAAATTTAATGTATATTGAGCAGGACGTCATACGTGTATAAGGTTCACGAAGCTCTGCAAACCAAGATTGAATATCTTGTTGGGAACTTTTCCTACGACTACAGAGTAAATCATGCACGGAAATAGTGTATCCTTTGAAGGAAATTACACACATTACATCGTACACATTACCTGTGCAAAGATCTTATACAAAGGTTCCAAGATGAACTCCACAAAGCTTCTCTGAGAAGTACTTAAAGGGGCTTTCCGTGTAAACTTACGCCTGGCAAAAACAAAGGAAAAACTTTCAATCAAATCTGTCACATCATAAGCTAGATTTCTTTAACATTTAATATCTAAAATGTATATTTATTTAACACCTCAACAGAGACTATCATACCCAATTGTATGATTCGTTGAATTTACTTACAGTCAATAGCGCCGCTGCCAATATACCTAGGGCGCAGTTTCCCAATCCATGTGCGTTGCTTGGGCGTCGTTTGTAATTTTTTAACCGTTTTGTTCCAAGTTAAGTTATTAGCTAAGGGGTTTCAGGCTATCCTGTAAGAAGCAATAACTTCGAATCGTCGCAGGATAGATCCTCGTATGTTAATCGTTGTTTAAAAGAATACAGGGAATCTGCACGCATACAAAACGTTGTGTCGTATTTATTTTCGCCCAGCGAGCTGGCCCCTACACATATAATCTACATAAGGGAGACTCGCGTCAAGTGCATCACACTGTATCATTTTCAATGTACTTACGATTTAGAATTGAAGTACATGTCACCCCACAAACGCTTAGCAAAGTCTCTTGGATCAATTGTGACACCTTGGTAAACGAACAAAAAAATCATTGTTCAAGGACTCTTTATTTATCATAGGTGTTCGTAAAAATAATCTGATAGCCTGTTCCTAGTATAAGTTAGTAAAACGATGACATAGTAAATGGTGCAACAGCAGCTGCAGAGTATAAATGAGGGAAGTTTATGCAACCAGACCCAGACCCAAACCTCCCCTGATTTTTAACTTCTCCACTTTTGTGCTGTTCACTAACGTGCTTTGTTTGGCTCACTGAATGCCTGGAACAGGCTAATAATCTGAAGGATCTGAAGAATACTCACCAAAAGTGTCAACATAAAGAGAGGCAAATGAAAAGAGTGTGAAGCAGAATCTATACTGTGAGCTCGCAAAACAGACATTTCCAAGGAAAGGGGACATGACATAATCATCTGCACCATCAGAGTAGACACTGAGGAGTAAAAAAAAACATGCATCCCCATCAAAAGAGAAGCCAATTGAAATTAACAGTAAAAAAAGGTTAAGTTTGTACCCCAGTCAAGTGGCCCATCTGGCCATGGCTTATCCCAGTTTCAATAGCATGAAGCAACAAGAAGTATTTTTTTAAGTAATAATTTTAAACAGTCATGAAATTGTAGAGGAGAGGATATAAACTATTCAACTGTGAGAGTGTGTTATAATTTGTTGCATGGTAATCAATGAAACACAAAAATACTGGAACATGAAGATGATTAAACAAATTTGCACAGGTACTTCGCTTAGAATGCTTGATTCTTTTGTTTTGCTCAAATTTACTATCAGTGTTATTTTCATTGCCTCACAACAAACAGTTGCACAGCACATGAAGTCTGACATCCATACCTGAGTAGTCCATTCACTTCATCCACTATATGTTTTAATTTGTAGTAGGCATCTGTAGGGGGAAGCTTTAACTCCAACATCAGTCGATCAATCTGAAAATGAGGGGAAAAGAAGGCTCTGTTATTCTGTCTGTGACAACAACTCAAGCTCAAATATACATGCATTGCTTAAGACAATTAACTCTTTTGCCATTTATTTTGTTCCATGTACAATCAAAAAGAAGCTCTGAGGCCTTTAATATTCATCAACAAAAATCAGTCTGTACCTTGTTGATACAAATAGTTACAGCAAGCCTTTCTTGAACAGCATGTTTTAGGAGTCGCTCTGTGTTCAACATCACCTGAAACAAAGAGATGACAACCAGTCATGCATCAGTGTTAAATAAATACTTTTGCATGATGAGTCTGTCTATGCTGCAAAAGCATGTTCTGTATAAGTTAAACAGGAACAGGTACAGTAATTCAAAATGCCAACAAAAACATCCGAAACCCCAAGCAACCCTGGAAGTTAAGGGGAAATTAAAATAACTCACCCCCTCAGAGGCATCAATGAAGATCATAACTCCATCACACAATCTTATTGCCGCAGTGACCTCATCTGAGAAGTTTACATGTCCTGGAAGATCAATATCAAACCATGCTTTTCACATTCCAAATCTATGATATCTACTCATTGCCAATGCGAGAGGTGATAAAAATTGCAACTACTTTGTTATCTTAGTCAGTTACTTCTGTGATGGACTGTTCTACCAGATATTTAGAAATCATATTATTCAACTGTTCCTACAAACACTGTGCCAATTTTCTTGGGAGGTTGAAAAAAGAGACACCCCAAATTACTGTTAAATTTATTGAAAAGAATTAAAGATCTCATACATGCTCAGACCGTCTGAGATGCATCAGTGTTTAACACATGATCCTAAAATTGTATGATTGTGATACTTGTGTATTTTATTTCAACCCTTGTACCCTTACATCAGTATGCATATTCTCCATTCTGTTTTCTATACATTTTTCTAAGGTGCTGACAAGGAGAATTTGTTTAACAATCAAGAGCTTCTTTACTTGGTGATCATTTCCTTTATTCTCGTCACCTTAAGGAGTGATTCAGGGGTGATATTGTAATGAGAAATTTGATGCTAATCACTTTTAACCATCTAAGGACTAGGCATCATTATTGTCACATTGAAAACACACCTATCACTTTGGACCAAGACACAAAAAGTTTGGCTAGCACTCATACATGTAGATGCTGTGTTTTCACCTACCTGGGGTGTCAAAGACATTGATGAGGTACGACTTCCCCTTAGTGTCTGGCAAAACTAAAGACACTGGAACACTCTTAATACTCAGACCTCTCTAAAAGAAAAAAATACATGGCAGATTGAAGTGGCAGATTGCAATGAGACAGTCCCTAGTTCAGGTAAATTTACTGCAAAGTTGTTTTTAACACAACAGACAACACCTTACCTCTTGTTCAGTAAACAATGTGTCACTGTAACGAAGCTGAACAAAGTAAAAAAATAAAGAAATACAAATTACATGTATCCCCGAGTTTACATAATTATAAACTTTAGGCCATACAGGCATGAAATTTTCAAGTTCTACACTCCAAGTTGCCACTGAGTAAAAACAACAAATTCTGGTCTCTACATTTGCAGCAAAATAATACCTGTAACATGGCGTAACTTTGCTTATTTGTTTTTATTTTGTTTTATTTTTGTTTCCTTTCAGTCAATTAAAATTCTCTCTCTGGCCACCATTTCATGATTTGAAGTCAACTAATAGAAAACTGAAAAAAGTTGAGATTTAGAACCCTCAAATTAGACACAACACACATGCAATATACTTTGGTATTATCAGCTGAGTTGATGATGTAAATTGGCCACTGTTAAGAGTTTTAAAGCCAGTGAAGGGCTAATGCTCAAAATGTCAGCTTTGCTTTGCACTAGAGGTACACATCCTTTGAGAGAATGCTAACCATTTGCATATTACTGCTCCTAAATCCATTTATGTGGGATTAATTTTCAGAGTGATTTTTAACCACTTGGTTGACTTCCAATCAGTTTTTAACAGCTATTATAATTAAAGTTCCTTTTTCAAAGTTTTAAACTAAGTCATCACACCAAAAAGAAGACCAAGCTCTTCTTCAGAGGTCACCATTCAAAGTACATGTACCCACAATTTCCTTACTATTTCTGAGACTTACATCACTCCCTTCTTTAGCTTGTATCTCAGGATGTGTTTGTTCAAAAAGACAGTCAACAAAAACACTCTGCAAATACACAAATCACAAAGAACTAATCTTAAGCTTCCTTTCATATCTTTTAGTTATCACTTCACTGTAATGCCCCCTTAAATTGAAAAGTTTGTTCAAATTAAAATCTCCTCCCTCTGTTTGAACCCAGAGATATAAAGAAGTATCTTACCAACCTTGTTTTCTTGGTCTGTAATATAAGTTACAGGACCTTGTTTTTTTCCTACTTGGGTTTATGACCTACATGACTCACACTTGGGCCATAAATCCAAGTAGAAAAGACTTGGTCTGCAACTTACAGTGCAGACCTCAAACTTGGTCAGTGAGAAGTATTTTTCAAGGCCAAATAAGTTGAAAACAAAAACAATATTTGTGATTCAATTAAGTTTACAATTTGCATCTACAATTCTACCTTTCCTGTGTGCAAATGTCCTGCTAAGACTACATTTCTGATAAGATCTGGGTTGTCCATTAAATCTGCCAAATATCTACAATGGAATTAAAATAATACAGGAGGTCAGATTTGCTAAAACATATCAAGATTCATGTTATAAATATTAAAGTATTGACTATGATAAAAACAGGATTTATCATGGACCACACAATGCATAATTAAATGTAAATCCACAAAGAAACCTTTTTTTTATGGCAATCAGTGTTATATACATTAATAATGATTATGATAAATGTCATCAGTTAAGGTGAAAAACATTAAATTACTCCCCCCCCTTACTCAATATCATAAGTTGTTGTAGGTAGATCTTGCTCTTCATGGAAAAACTTCTTTTTTGCCACAGGTTTAATAATGGGCTCTGCAAAAGTAAGCAAAAAGATGAAATTACTAGTTCTATCTGAGTACACTTAGGTTATAATGATGTAACTGTAATATTCTCATGATAATGTGACTATGCAGTACAAGACTGAAAGAAAAAAATGCCTTTGGTAGCATTTTAGATCAACAGTATTTTGTTACAAACAATGTATTGCCAATTTATGTGAGTGGTCAGTGAAAGAACCCAATGACATTTAATTTGCTAAACACAGCACCAAAAGCTAGCTTATTCATGGTTGACACCACACTGAAGGCAAGCAAGGTAGGCACATGGAGAAGCTATCCCAAAACAAAGGAAGACATGCATGCTGTTTGTAAACCTGTACTTTACATTAGGACTACTACTTAACAAGATTCAAACACAACTAAGACAAGGATATTTTCAGAAACCTGTCAATGGCTGTGTATCTTCTTCTTGGACAACGGTCTAAAGAAATAACCCAAATATAAGTGCCAAAACTTTTTCAAGGCAGACAGTGATTTCATTTAATAAACACACATAGTAATAAACTTCTACAAGCACTTCATTTTATAACATCTCAACTTTGCCTCCTTTCCTACCTCGACTTCTGGACCAAAGACCTCTTCTGCAGTAGGATAATACTTTTTGTCCTGTAAACATAATTAACATTCAAAGAGACAGTGACTCACACAGCAGATATATCTTTGAAAAAAAAAATGAGAGTTAAACTTAACAACATGCAAGTTTACCTTAACAGTCCTCAGAAGATCAAAACTGCCTCAATTAATACTTAACACCTTAACATCAGTATGCATATTCTTCTTTTTGTTCGTTATACATTTTCCTCAGTTGACAAAGAGAATTTGTTTGACTATCACGAGGTTCTTTAGTTGGTAATCATTTTTTTGGAGAAATTTGATTCTAGTCATCCTTACAGGTCAAAGGGATAGGTCATCTTTCATAAAGTATCAAGTGACACATATTGAGAATATTAAAATAATGTAGCTATGCTACCAATAGAAGGCATCATTTTTATCTTTTATGTAGAAACCTGAGGATCATCACTCTGAATGAATAAAAGGGGCAAGTTTCTATAGGAACTTTGGTGCTGCTGCATCAGTAAGAGGTAACAAGTGATAATTTGGTTTTATCAATTGAGTTAATAAATGTAAATTGTAAATTTTATCAATTGAGTTGATAAAATGTAAAGAGTTTCTAAAGCTGATGTTTTGAGTGTTAGCCCTTTGTCAGATTACTGCCCTAGTCTAGTAAGAGGAAAGTTTATCACAACATTGTACCTCGTGCAAAACCACTTGCATTTGAGGCTCTTCATCCTGGTCCATCTGCTCATCTTCATCATCTTCTGCCTGAAATACATGACATTAAAATACTTGGCTATCATTCAGTGCTAATAATCCCTGAGATTAATGTAATTATACAAAAAGTCAATCAAGCTCTTAGCCCAGTTAAGCACATGAGGCCTCAGCAATATGCAAGGGTTTCGAAAATTCTGATTTATTTGCGCACTTTGATAGGTTTTTGGTTATAATCTATTTGAGGACAGATGCATCAAAGATGTCACTAATGATATCTTTTGGCGGCATCATCACGAGATAAAAGTTTCCATGGGTTTGTTCAATGATGGGCAAGCACCAAACAGACATCAAAACGCTGTAAGAACGTCAGTGACACACTAGGCCGCACCAAATATGCCACTTTTTTGTTCCTATCACATTTTGAAGTCATTTGTGATCTACCATGGAGCAGAAGCACGGTAAGATGGGATCATTCTGTCAAACTGACAGAGTTACATACATTACACAACGCCAGTAGAGTTTTCAGGTGTTTGCGTTACCAAGCTACACTGGTTAATATATGAAGCATGATTCGTGCTACAGACTCACCATTTACACAAACAAGAAGTAAGATGTCACTTCATCACAAACATAATGCTGCTTTACACGCTCTTTCAGTCGCTAATTGTTGTAAGGAGCATGGCAAGCGGTGAACAAAAAGTTATCGAAGCTAAATTTCTTACGCGTTTGAGTCAATCAAGACTTGATCACTTACATATTCTACTGCCTCTTCTTCGTCTGCGTCCTCTTCCTCCTCGCTCTCCTCATCACTGTCGAGTTCTGGACCAATGTAGTTTCCGAATTCATCATACAGATCAGCCTCCATTTTGGAAAACGTGCAGCTAACGTTGGGAGGAAGACTGAAACGAGATTTGGTTGTCTAGTCCCAGGGCTACTCAAGCAAGACGATATATCACTAGTCAGCGGAATTTCCCTTTAGAGGTATTTTGCAATATGGCGGACCATCTAGGCGAACACGTGTAATGAGAGAATTCGCTTCTTCGTTGGTCTGAAACAACCTCATTATTACAAAAAGCCGAAGTAATGGGTCGAATGAGGCAGAGGCATAACTGGAAGGCAAGATTGCAGCCAGAGGCTTCGAAAAAGGACACGAATTCAGCGCCTACTGATGACCAGAAAGGTGTTTTGGAAAAGACTACGGTAGATGACGACTACAAATTTTCCCATGACGATTCCAACATTCTCGTCGCCCCGAGTAAGAAAGGCAAGGTTAAGGTAGCCATTAAGAACCCAATTGATAAGCGAAAGAAGCTAACAAAGAAACAACGAAAAAGACTGGAAAAAATTGTCGAGACGAAGAAAAAGAAAGCTAAGCGAGCAGAATTGCTTAAAGCGCTCTCCGAGTATGCTGTCAGTGATAAAGAGTTGTCTCAAATGAGTTCTACGACTGATCTAGGCCAGTCTAACACAACAAAGAAAAGAACGATTTCGGAAGTTGAAGAAAGTGCAGCCAGAAAAGTAGTCATCTCAAGTGTTCGCTGTGGTCGTAAAAAAGGCAAAAGACTGCGATTAGAGAGAAAAGCCCTCGATCCTGCTCCTGCTAAGATTGCAAAGACGATAGAGGAAGAAATAGAATTTGGAGAATCATCAGAAAGCGAAGAAGAGGATGGAGGTAACCCCGATTCGTTGCAGGAGGAGAATCTACTCGCGGAAAGTTTACCTTTGAATGAACAGACTACAGACATAGAGGAAAAAGATGAAAACAAAAGTGATCGTTCAAAATCTAAAGAGGATGCAGGGGAAAATTCTGCAGAATCAACAGTTAAAACGATCTCAGAGAAAGTGGAGACCGTAAAAAAGGAATCGAAGCCGGCAATTTTCATGGAAGTAAAGAGGAACTCAGAAATTCAGACTGCAAGGCTTCAGCTTCCGATCCTCGCCGAAGAGCAAGCTGTTATGGAAGCGATCCACGATAATGACGTAGTTATCCTTTGTGGTGAAACCGGAAGTGGAAAGACCACTCAAGTCCCTCAGTTTTTATACGAAGGTGGATACACTACACGAGGACTGATTGGCGTGACAGAACCACGCCGGGTAGCTGCCGTGACAATGTCACGCAGGGTAGCACTAGAGCTGAATATGAGTACCGAGCTGGTGTCTTACCAGATTCGTTATGAAGGTAACGTGACAGAAAATACCATCATGAAATTTATGACAGATGGTGTGCTACTCAAGGAAATTGAAAATGACTTTTTCTTGTCAAAATACTCGGTCGTTGTGATCGACGAAGCCCATGAGCGAAGTGTATTCACTGATATTTTAATGGGACTGCTTTCAAGAATAGTTCCAATGCGTAAAACTCAAGGTAAACAGCTCAAACTTATCATCATGTCCGCCACACTTCGTGTGGAAGATTTTACGAGTAATACGCGTCTTTTCTCCATCCCACCCCCGGTGGTGACTGTGGAGTCCAGACAGTTTCCTGTCACTGTACACTTTAATAAGAGGACGCCAGATGACTACCTAAATGAGGCATTCCGTAAAGTTTGCAAAATCCACCGCACCTTACCCCCGGGAGGGATATTGGTGTTTGTGACAGGTCAGGCCGAAGTGCACGGTTTATGTAGAAAGCTGAAGAGAACATTTCCTTGCAACCTGCGCAAGGAAAATTCGAAACAAAAGGTGGATGCGAGCGATGAAAACTCAGGTGATGATGAAGATCACTTCGATCTTGATAATTATTCCGTAAACCCGGCTGTGGAAGATAGAGACGCTGAAGACGAAGATCTTGGTGAATACAACCTCAACGACAACGACAGCGATAGTGAGTTTAATCTCGACGACGGCGCGTTTACGCCGTCGATCGACAAAAATTTACCCATGTTTGTTCTGCCGTTGTATTCGCTTCTCTCGAGCCAACAACAAGCTAAGGTATTTCAGCCACCCCCCGACGGGACTCGGTTGTGCGTCGTAGCGACCAATGTAGCAGAAACGTCGTTGACAATTCCCAACATCAAGTACGTAGTGGACACGGGTATGGTAAAGAGGCGTTATTACGATAAAATCACTGGAGTGTCTTCTTTTAAAATCACGTGGACATCCAGGGCCTCAGCCAATCAAAGAGCAGGTAGAGCTGGCAGAGTGGAGCCTGGACACTGCTATCGTTTATATTCTTCGGCCGTGTTTACCAACGACTTTGAAGAGTTCTCAGCACCTGAAATATCACGTCGTCCAGTGGAAGACCTTGTGTTGCAGATGAAGGACTTGAACATTGACAAAGTAGTAAACTTCCCCTTTCCCACTCCGCCTGACCTAACAGCGTTGCAAAGCGCAGAGAGGTTGCTGTTAAATCTAGGCGCGCTGGAGGAGAAGAAGACGATGAAGGGAAATGTGAATGCAGTGATCACTCCTCTTGGACGCGCCATGGCTAAGTTTCCTGTGTCTCCGAGATACGCAAAGATGCTCTGCCTGGGGCATCAGGAAAATTGCATGGAATACGTCATCGCTATTGTATCCGCTCTCACGGTGAAAGAAATCTTTGCAGATGACAACGACAAAGAAACGAGCCAGGTAACAAAGGAAGATCGGCGAAAGATATCTCGCTTGCGGCGGACTTGGGCAGGCCAAGGTGACGCCCAGAAGCTCGGAGACGCGATGGTTCTTCTTAGAGCTGTTGGGGCTTGTGAATATGCCGGCTGCACAGAAAAGTTCTGCTCTGAGAATGGACTTCGTCACAAAGGAATGATCGAGATCAGAAAGCTCCGTGCCCAGCTTACAAACTCGGTAAATCTTGTCAATGCTGATGCAAAAGTGATGCTTAACCCTCGGATGAGCCCGCCATCACCCGCCCAGTGCGTTGCCCTTCGGCAGATATGCCTATCGGGCCTTTGCGGCCATGTAGCCCGCAAGAACCCAACAGGAAATGACCCCCAACGAAAGAATGCTTACAGCTGCATGTCCCTGGGTGAGCCTGTCTTCATTCACCCATCCTCTGCGCTCTTTGAAGTGTTACCAGAATACGTGATTTATCAAGAAATCGTCGAGACCTCAAAACTTTTTATGAAAGGTTAGTCTGTAATGGTTTAAAAGTGTTGTCAAAACGAAACTACAAGGAAGGAAAACTTATTCATGACAGTGAAACTAAGAACAGGCCTTATTTTACTAAGATATCTGTCGCGCAGGTCAGTAGGCCAAACGTATCCCACCTCCGCGTCACAGTGCGGCGGGAAATTCTTTGCGCCGATTTCTTTGAGCTCGCGGGCCCGATTACCCCCCTCTCCCCCCAAGAACTTTTTACCCTCTGGATTGAATGCAGGCATTAAAAAAGCATTGTTAAAGTAACTACATGACATTCCCATTGCATAATGCTGCAAGCCAAGGTCTCTGTTGTTAATCTAGACTCATCTTTTTTTCTTCACTGTAGGTGTTATTGCTGTTGAGTCCGATTGGATCCCAATTCTGGTCCCGAGTTTGTGCACATTCTCCAAACCCCTCGAAAAACATCCGCCTCGTTATGACTCCGACTCTGGCGTCGTCAAGTGCCACATGAAATGTTCATTTGGACCCAAGTCCTGGCAGGTGCCCCCACAGGAGCTTGAATATCCTGCGGGACTCGATAGATACAAGTGGTTTGCAAAGTTCTTGCTCGAGGGAAAAGTAATCCCAGCATTTGCAAAGTTTGTGCCATTCCTGTTGTGCCCACCAGTTACAATGATCAAGTCCTGGGCAAAACTACAGCCGAGGACCGAAATCCTACTAAGTGAACTTGTGAACGGGAAGGCCGATAGCAAGATTGCCCTTATGGCCGCTTTAAAAAAAGATCCGAAGTTTTTATTAGCTACCCTGAAACAGTGGATTCCTCAGAGCAAACATAGCGAACTGACTTTATCATGGCCACCTAAAGACTAACACGACTCTAGCGCTGAGTTAGAACTGTCTTAATTCGAGCTTTTGCGCTTTCCAATTGCGCGATTTTTATTAAATGTGTTGTTAAATGTAGGGTTTCGCGTAGAACCGCGGTAAGATGCAACCCAGACCAAAGGTCGCTAATGAAAATCGTTCATGGGACATAAATACTTTGTTATTGTTAACCAAACCTTTATAGCCACTCGGAATACAACAATGTAGAAAATGTTCCTATTTATTTACAACTTCGGTCGCCCGACCTCTCACAAAAATTAATTTAAAGTCGCTTATCTAACAAGCAAGAAGTTTCAATGCGGGCTCTTTCATATTTACCTATAATTACAATAGCTTTTACTTTATAAATAATAAATTAACTAGACTCTTCAACTGATATCGTAAAAACTCGTTTTCTAAACTATGACATGTACCCACATTGTTCGCACCAAAATCGTTGGATACCACGTTCGGTCGAGTTCACCAACTTAGTGCCGATCAAACCCCCTTCCCCCCTCCGCACCACAATCTGTCTGTTACAGTATCGTTTTAATTTTAGTGTCCTCTGAGCAGCTCAGACCTTTTTAAAGAGAGACCACCTTCTTCACTTGAATCTTAATTGCTCTAGAAATTATACTTTCTTCATAGGAAGAAGCTCCTCGGGTGTTAACTCCAGTGACTTATTTTTCCGTTTGAAAAAACCAAGCTGAAAACAAGTAAATGAAGAAGGAGGTTAAAAAAATCTAAAGAAAAAGACTTCATTTCCCACGAGGATCTAAACCCCAGATCTTCGGATTTCACGATCCGATGCTGGTGAAGGCAATTCAGCTTGTAAAAACACATGATGAACTTGACTTAAAAAGACATAGCGTCAAAGTGCATATATAATGAAAAATTTAGCAAATTTTCCTAGTGCCGACCTCACCCATCATCGTTCCGCCTTGGATCATTTTCAACTCGCAGCCTTTGTGTTTGTTCCCTCCCCCCCTACAAAAAATTCATTTTTTAGCTTCTATTGTGAACGAGAATTTTCCAACAGGCCAAAAAAAGATAGTCATAACATAGTCATAACAATCCTCGAACATCACATGTTATTTTTTGTAAATGTCATGCATTAAATCCAATTTAAGTCTATTTGTACAAAAATTGATCTTTCTAACTTACGTTTCCAAGCCCTTTTTTCGATGACATATAATTAACAACATACAAACCTTATAGAGGATAAAAACTGCGACTCCGAGCAAAATGACACCACCCAGAACTGAGACCAAGTATACCCACCACGGGGTGGATTTTTTACCGGCAACAGGGCGTTCAGGCTTGGCTGTGAGAATGATCTGCCAAAGAAACAGTACCTCCTATTAATGAAAATTAAAAACCTCGCAGAACTGTAACTAAAGCAATTTTCAAAGACCGACCGAACAGTTAAGGAAAACTGCCCACTTATAAATTGGCTTGTAAAAATTCGAAGCAAATAGACGTACATGGCCAGCGGAAGACATGGGAGATTGTTTTCGTTCAGAGAATTTACGATTGGTTTTGTATTTCCAAATGGTGATTACCTTAGAAAGTAATTATAAGGAAAACACTCATCAAAACAGATTGTATGGTCCAAAAACCCGAGCTCACATTTCCCTAACTCTTGTCCGGACAGAACTACAATTAAAGGTTTACCAAATGAAGGATGCTTATGTAAATTTGCCTAGTAATTTTACATTTGGTACATTCAATTTAAGCCGAAAATTTGAAAACGAATCAACTCCCCTGGCTCAGTCTCCTTAATCAACTTCGATCGATCAATCACACAGTGGTCGTAAAAAAATAAAATACAAAGTTAGTTGCATTCAGTACCAAATTTTCATCACTCTAGTGTCGTCAAATATGTTCAAAAACAGACTTTAAAAAGAGTATAATCAAGCTACTCACCGTTACAGCATCATTTCCTACGTCCGGCTGAGTGACTTTCGCTGGAGGCTGTACTTGTGCAATCGTTTCAAGTTCCACTACTGCTGGCTTATCGAGCTGTAAGGTAACATCAAGTATATTGACATATAAGGAGGGAGGAGGGTTGTGAGGTCACAAAGCTCCCTAAGAGGGTAAGGTGATGAATGTAAGAGAAGATTTTTTTTGGAAGGAAAGATTCTCAATGATTTTAATCCAATATTTCAACCCCAAAGTGCCACAGCGCACATTTCGACGATTATTTTAACGTTGGAGGGTTTCCTCTGACATACACACAACACTTGATTTGTGACATATTCATCATATAAAATTCAATTGATCTGCGAACAAGATACAATTGGCGAGGTGGGTCAATTATCTACTTAACTATGCTACTAGAATAATACAAAAATATCACAGAAAGAAAGGCATAAGAGGTGAGATGATATTTGGTGATTTGAAATGACCGACGATGACTCGTGTTCATAGATTTGACAAAAAAAAAGTCAATGTAGGGCATTGTTTTGCAATAGAGCATTATTGAAAAGGTATGGCAACTCATGCAAAATTTTTGCCCAACAATTCTTACACACAATATAGATCACGGAATACTAAGAATACCTTAATGAGTGTATTCTGCCACAGCCGTGATGTTAGTTTGATCTCTGCTTTATCACCCTGTCTCAGGCGTCCCAAACTGCACTGGAATGATTGGCAACCGACTTCTCCACAGCTCTACAAAGTAATAGGTTGTTAGAGATTGAATATACCGAACCATTTTTTTTTCAGAGCCTAGTTTTCAGCGCTTAGGAGTATTGCTAGTCCTCTCAGACGCAATACTGATCCATAACAAATGATTCTCTAGCAATTCATCGAGTTTTTCTGATAATTGGCTTGTGTACCCATTACACTCATTCTTGCCTGAGTACACAGCACATTGGTTTATAGAAGTTTAGCCCTATACCAGTTCACCTCGAGACGAGGGGTCGCCCTATCAAATATGACAAGTTCGCCCCAATTTTACCAAGTCGCCCCCCCCCCCTCCCCCACCAAATCTTTCAACTTTTATCCTGAAAATGTTTCTCCCAATACACTCGCCCCAGCCAAGGCTCAAGCCCAGACCTCCCGCAATTCGATGTCCAGGTGAGCTAACCATTAGATCACCACCTCTCTCGTGAAAGAAAAATTGGCTAAGTGAGCCGAGTGAATGTTCGTAAAAGTAACCTTTTTGAAATGAGTCGTGAAACCGCATGCAACACATTTTTTCGCACAGATTGTCAAAACAACTGCCAAGTTTATAGCGAGATTTGTTTTGCGCTTAGTTGTCACAACCAAATTATCTTGTTATACTCCTCCAACCACGTAGTACTACAAAATTCCTTAAAAACCGTACCGCCTATATTAGATTACGGTAAAACTGTGTTTGAGTAAACTCGCTCAAAAGAAGATATTTTGAAAGCGCCTGTAACCGACGAGAACTTATAATCATACACACCCATGCGTATTTCATGTACTTACCAGTCTCTTGACGTCACGTGTCTGCCTCTGTTTCACGGAATTCTCGGTGCTGATGGATTCATTCAACTGCACTGACTGTAAGAAACCAAGAGAATATGAACTGAAGAAACAAATTACTCAGAAGAAACGAAAATTGAAAGGCTGAATAAGTGCATTACAGATAGCTGTAATATTCATTCGCAATTAACCGAGATGAATTTTATGATATCAAAAAATGTTATATTATTATTATCATGAAATTATCAATAACTTGTATTAGCATACAATGCACAATTAAGTGAATAGTGATTTTCGTGCGCACTGATTGGCTAGTTGGGAATTGAGTGGCAAGTAGTATTCAACTCCGAGAAGCAGATGAGACAAAATCGTGCGTCAATTAAAGGTTTAATTTCCGACCAATTTTTTTAAGTATATTGAAAGAAATAAACTGACTTTTTGATATCTGTATAGACTGTACAAAAATAATTATTCACCTCAGTGTCGGTGAAAGTCGTGGATAGTTCTTAATTGTGGCCCGTGGATGAAATTTTCATTACCAGCGCGTTTTCACGCGTTCTTGGATAACAGATTTCTCTCACAACCCCCGGGGGAGGGGGTTGTACATTATAAGGTGAATACTTTACCTTAATGTTCAAAGGATTCACAACAGCATTGCAGCTTCCTGAGCCAATGACCTAAAAAAGAACAGTACTTCCAACAATCAATGAAAGAATATCTCGTATGTTTGATCAGGCTCATTCTGGTTGCGTTTACCTCTACAAAGACAAATACAAAGAATAATTATTCCCGAATTTTAATCTCACCTCAACTTGAAGTAGATACATGAGAAAACTTTCAGGATCGTCCTTATTCAATAGTTTAGGTACAGTGATCGTCAACTGAGACCAGTCTACCACGCTGGGACCGTGATTGAAAACCTAATGTAAAGAAAAGTGCTGTATGTTAGCTAGGACTAAAAGGAATTAATAAATTAACACAGCCACATCAGTTTGTAACCAGTACCTAGCATTTAAAAAGGCGCAGTCTGTGGAAAGCTCACTTCAAGTTAGAACGTTCCTTGGCGAAATTTCGCTTTGCTCATGTCACCAATTTCTCATATTTTGGCAAAATTTTACTTCAACACAAAATTAACTACATCGCTATCAGTATACCTTGATGGTTTGAACAATCTCAGGTCCAATCTCCTCTTGAAACTCTCTGATTTTCTCCTGCTTTTTTACGGATCCTGAGTAAATGACTTGGTCTGGTTTTGAATAACTGAGTGGAGACAGACTGTGATTAGTACCATACTTCTTGAAGATAATCAATCTCAGCGCACAAGTGAAATACTGCGACGAATTAGGCATGCGTAACAGACACTTTGTATGATACAGTAATGCGGATTGGTGTACCAACTTCAATCAATACCTACCCTTTAATCTCCAGATCTGCCTCATACTTCACGGCAATAAAGAATTCCTTGCTGTTGTCTTTCTCGTTGGCATCTAAGTCTTGGCTATAAACATACCAAAAAGGTTTTTCATACAATATACGGCACCAAGATAGCGTTTTCCAGACGCTTTCTTGAGTCAGCGTCATAAACCGAGCTAAAGCAATTGCGATACCCAACAGAGCCAGGAAAAAACATCAACGGAGTCAAAACTGAAGAACCCAAAGTAAATGCAGGCTTACCGCCTCAAACGCGGGAAAATGCAACTGACCTAGTTAGGAACTTATGATTAGTTTTGGTCGATTGGTCGATTGGTCGAGAGGTTGGCATCTGATTGGTTGAGAGCGGGAAGGCGCAAGTTCCTAAGCAACCACATAGCGATGTAAAGCAAAACCACAAGGAAATCTTGGACAACAATCGATAATGATTTGAAATTGCGCTATAGCAACAAGTATTACTCTGATTTTAACATCCGACAACTTAATCGATCAT